TATATATATAAAAATATTATATACATTTTTTTTTCAACGAAATAAATTAACGCGATCGTTTTCGTTCTGTTTTAGATATCTTTTATATCTTCTATGTCTGCTTACGGAAAAGAGTATCTTATCGCGGTTGCTTCAGTTTGTTGTTTATATAGAACATACTTATATAGCAAAAAGTGGCTAATACAGGCAACAAGTCGATAACGATCACGTTTTCGAAAACGTTAATATTCTGTTGATTTCGGTATGTGTCGACTTGATTGCTTCTGTTGACATTTGCTAGTGCATATAGTACGCGTGAGCGGCTGGAACTGAATATATTAGTTGACTGAAATGAATGAAGAAGTGAATCAAGGATCGAAATTGCAGAATATTAGAACAAGATAATTCACAGTACCTTGTATACTTCTCCGAAGCTACCTTGTCCCAGCTTGCAGATCTGGTGGAAAACGCTTGGAAAAAACGGTTCCCTTGCTTTGCCTGCGGCGTCGGGATTATAATAGGGGCTCTCAACCCTCCGTGACTCCCCAGAGAACGTAACTCTTTCGAGTGCCTCCAGTCGGTTTTCCCTTTTATCCGGTACTCTTGACAATGAACCCCTCTGCATCACGTGAAATCAGATACATTTACAAAATAAAGGAAAAGGATACCAACAAGTAAAAGACGTACTTTGTTTACTTAGTAATTGCTATCAATTCATTAGATCGGTTCGTAACGGTCATAGCGGGAAAGGGACAAACGGGTAGCATGGTACGATGCTGCAATATACCTAAATGTATTTGTATTAACATAACAAATTGCACATTAAAGGCAAAAACATTAGTTTAAATAGCCTAAAAAAAACATTTCATAAATAATTGCTACCTGCATGCCGAAAGGCGGGGTCCCTGCTCCTCCTAAGAGATAAGGCAGACGTTGAGGGCTTGTGCCACGCATCTGCAAATTTCATTCGAGCATAATTTGTAAGTATTGTATACGTGTATAAAGCAGTAGCGAGCCCAATGCATCCGCATTTGCAATTGCACCCTAATGCAAATATGAGCTTCACAGGTTATAACTTACGAAATTTTTAAGTACAACTCACAGCTTACAGCGGAAGACGTAAAAGAGTGACATAAACAAACACATACACAGTAGGTCGATGCAAATACCCTGTACAATCTGTGAGAAGAAAACAATGAACGTCATTAGAACCTCATTCTCTGTTCCTCTCACACAGAGAAATCGTGGTTCACCAATGGAACAGGCTTATATAGAAGCTTACGAATGGGATTAACACAAGAGAACATAATGAAACAACCTTTAGTAGCTCAAAGAGCCGACACGCCGTCCTTGTCATCACAGAGGCGAAATGTGAAAGGTAAGTTTGCCTATCAGCAAAATGCGCCCTTATTAATCTGTGACTGCCTGCCTGCGTCACTGTGTGCTAAAAAGATGACGTTAGAACATTCGGTACCAGCATCGAGGTGAAAGAATTTCCTCTGAAAAAAACTAGTTCAGCACACACATCTTCAGGTTCATAGCAAAATGCGTGCGCCTCGCAATGCTCAAGTAGTATTCCGTAAGGTAAACACAAATAGGAAAAATGATTTGCACTCCTACAAAAATATATAAAAAATGTAAATAAAAATATGATTAATATATGCCAAAGTATATTTGTCAATTACAAGTCACGACTCGGTATATACTTTGGCGGCTTGTGGTGTTTTGTTACGGACCGAACTGCTTTGATACTTAACAAGAACTATTTGGCAGATCTCACACACTTGCCTAACTTACTGGAAAATCGTTTATTGAAACGTTGCTGCTACTGGCCAAAAATTAATTCGTACCAGAGAATTGACTTATTAGGCCAATTCTATTAACACAGTACCGCCTACACAACCTATAAGGTATTTCGGCACCATTATTACTTCCTCACAACTTGATTCTAGACCGCAATTTTTGGCACGCTCCCCTCGTGGAGACTGCTTTTTAGTTAGCCATTACATATATATATATATATATATATGTAATGACTAAGTTCGGTGCTTATTGATTAATAGATACCGGCGGTAGGAGATTGTCGGCATGCACTGGCTGTTAAGGCAGTCAGGGGCATTCCGGTAGGGTCAATGCCCATTATTTGTTACACTACACCCACACTTCATACTATTTTATATTTATTTATTCAACTATACACAGACATACTCGCGTTTGTTAAACGGATATTTATGAAGAGTACATAGATAAGGGCTATATTATCGATACAGTTGGAGGCCGATACGTGATCGTAGATGCTCGTTAAAGACACCTCTGACGCTCGATGTACTTCGAAACATTGACAAACCAATATGTAAACCGACACAGTATAGTTGAGGATTGTCAATATGGGCTAAGTTGTACAGTTAGACAGGTAAAAAACGCACGACACTGCGGTACTTACTTTATACTTAGTGCTTCGAATTTCACTTCCTGCATTGTCTTTAAGCATTGCTTGAAACGACTGTCCCTTAGCACAGAACGAAGTTGTAGTCACTTCGGTAAAGGGCAAATAATAGACACGAAATATGGCATCTTAATTGTAAAACAAATGTTCTTAATATAGTTGAAAGATACCTGTTTTTAAGGACGGTTTAACATTACTGATTGAATACTGGGAACTGTAATAGAGAGCACAACATTCAATCGTGTAACCTCATGTACTATGCAACAGCTACTCCTTAAAGCGAAGCGCGCCAAAGTAATGCAATTGAATGAATCGTTTTTACAACATTATATTTACATCCGAACAATCAACACAGAGTGGTTGGAGATAATTGCGGCGCTTTATGATAAGTACGCTACAGTCATCAATTCCACCTGTTCTTTGTCTTCGCAGTCAAGATACAGGCGCGATTCGCATTCAAAATAAGTTGATATATAATTTCTATGCGATTGTCCGGATATATTTGATGTACTTTGAATCACCCGATGTAGCAGTTATGCACGCCTGAATACAATTCCATTCAATAACTGAAAATAGTCAATACATCATGTCGGTATAAAAACAATTTTGAGACAAACCTTACGTTGCTCAACATAACCTAATTCTTATAACCTAATGAAACGACTTAGTATAAGCCCTTTCCAAAAAGTTTTGCTTGGAAGAAAATATGCCGATGAGGAAAAGGTGCACCTCAACAAATTCACTATAAAAATTATTAGATATTTTCTATGTTTACTAAATACATTCTACATTTAATTACTAGTTCACTTGTTATAGCATTAACGAACCATCCACCATTTATTAACTAAAACTAGTAATAATAATCCAGCGAGTGTCATAAGACTGCCGACTTCTAACCTTTTTCGGACTGTGAACTGTCACCGGCGCAGAAAGTCGTCTCTTCGTTAGCGAATATTTGTCCATTTCTCAAACGAATTTAAGGATTCACCCAGGCGCGAGCTAATGCTCACAAGCTGCGCAATGACAGCTGTGGGAACAATAAGTCCGTCCCGATACGATAATGATCGTTGATTTGATCCCTCTTAATGCAAAGGGGAAGGGAAAGACGGAGATGAAAAAAACTACAGTGTTGGCGAACAGCTGAGGCCTCAAACACGAGAATAGGCGTTACAATCGGCTATCCGTTCCCACACGCATACTTACTCTGAATTCTTAAAAGCCGAAAAAACTACGAGCCAACACACGACTATATTCTCGTCCACTCTGATCCCACTGTATTGACAGTTCTGTGCAAATCTTATCCTTTTGGCTGAAAACTTCGCAAGTCCTCCCCGGTGTATCTGACTTCCGCGGAGACCTAAAGTCGAGTACACGTTTATACTTATAGTTTGTTGTATCTTTTTTCTTTCTGTGTAATTAAATATGACTTCGTTTTTCCGGGTTACTAAGGGTTATTATGAACACAATCCGGCAAGTGTTAGCTCGTAACAAAAGTCAAACCGAGCTACTCTGGAGCGCTCCTTCCCTGTATTAGAACGCCAACATAAAAAAAAACTTTTGTTGTCACTAACAAAAAAACGCTTATTTTCTACGGCTCGTCGTATACAACGATAGACGAACACACAGGCATAGCAGCACGGCAAAAATGCAACTACACGGGCCAAAGTCACAGCTGGTGTCGTGCCTACTCTGTTGTTAATCCATCAGCGTCGACAGTTTCCGCCTGCTGAAGCTTATGTGCAGCGTTGAAAATCTTCGAAGTTGAGAAAACTATCGACCACACATTTCAGCTGTGGACGCAGACGGACAGACAGGCAGCCAGGCATTTACGCGCCAAACAAGATGGCGCCACTAACCCACTGTGATTTAAATGGGCCTAATGGCGCGAACTCGCAAGAGTAAACAGGTTGCGCCATGCTCAAGCTTCTTTAGGGGTTCTGGCGCAGTTCGCACGTTACCGCCTAAGTGTGCATCATGTTTTCGAGGAAGACATCACAGTGTTAAAGCAGCTTCGATGAAAGAGGGAAGATTATGCCGATACGTAGCTACCTTGTTAGCTATGATTACCTGAGGGATATTATTGCACGTTTAATCGATTTATGTATTAGCTGAGCGAGCCTGATCAGTAGGATAGGAAGGCTGTGGTTCGCTGTTCCGATCGATCGCCTGCTTCTATATGCATTCATTCAAAACTGTATTTTACCCCCCCCCCCCCCCCCGCTCCGCATAGTCGATTCTTCCTGTTTAAAGTTGATCGCTGATTGTTTCCGCTTATAATTGAGTACCAAGGGTTTTTGCTAATTACTAAATGGCTTTGCATGCAACTAATGAGCGATGTCTGTACTGGCGTAAAGCATTCTAGATGCCATTGCGAAACACTGTATTTGCAGTTAACTCACAAGCAGTATAAGATCCTACAGTAAAGCAATATACAATCACTAGAGTGCTAAGAAGCTTGTTGCTAACAGCAAGTGGAAGAGTTCCCGGGATCATTTAGTCTCTTAGGTGTTTCGAGCTATTCTACCCAAGCTTGAAAAGAGCAAACCTTTTCGCCCTGTCAAGAATAGCACCATAAACGGACGTAATTAACAGAACAAATAACACAGTACCTTATAGTATTTACTTGGCCTTTTCAAACGAGTCGCTTTACAACGGGCTAGATATGTTATGCAAGTCAAGACCAATAGCTTGGAACAGTGCCAGAGATCAAGTGAGCTTTCACTTTGTAATGATTGGCCACAGGCCTTTTGGTGTGGCCAAACAATTCCAGATGTTATATATTCATATAAAATTCTGCTGACTGGCCAGAAAAGACTTGCCAACGAGTGTGATCTGGGAACGAATTGGTGAAATGTTTGACCTTGAAGTACTCGACCCGCGGAGTCGAAATCCGTATGTGGAAGTGGACAGTTGCGATTTCGAGCTGCCTGCCGAAGAGTTTGGTAAGCTGATAACTGTAAAGAAACTGAGATGACCCGCAAACCTCGATACTCAAGTTGTAAGATTGAAAACGAATATAAAACTTATGTTAGCACTAGTACTTCTGAGCTGCAGTGGGCTTCAAGGAATACATTAGCGGCAGTACATAGAAAGAGTCAATTATTATCGTCACCAAAGTTGGTACGGGGTATTGCTAGTGAATCCCATGTTTCTCAAACTTCCGGGATGTCCATTGAAGGCGACGCCGGAGATCGTAATGGCACATGCAAAGCAGCAGACCAACCTTTGGTTGAATTCATAGACAGCCGTGGTACACAAGATCGAATAGGAAAACAAAAAACACACGGAACGCACACCGTTGCCACAATGCAGTAGCTTATTACGACGGCCAAAAATTGTTTTGCCAACAAGAGGTGTCTCGCGGTAGTCCTACTTCTAGTAAATCAAAAATACCAAGTCCCAATGAGCACCAGATGCGAGCTACATCACGAAGTAGAGGACAACGATGCAGCTGCGGTGTGAAACGGGTTAACTTTGAGAGTTGTTCTTTAAAATATCCAGATGCCAATATGCGGCCGGCCATTACGACGTGTTTGGGTATTTCGCTAATAAAAAAATTGACTGAAACCGGAGCATCATAACGATTCCTAAAGGTTTTATTTCTGTTAGAGCGGCCTGCTGAAATCAGTACAGGAATAAGTCCAACCACGATCATTGAGTTACCAGAGACCAGTTGCAACGGCCTGATCAGTTGTTGCTAGGACAAATTACTGATTGTTCACTACTGAACACGGTTGCATCGTTTAGGACCGACCGTAACGTATGCTTCCCCGATCCAGACATGTGCAACTTTCGTTATTATTATTATTGTTATACATACATACAGTCATACTTAATAGAACGGTATAGTGTTATGAGAGGGCTATAAATTGAATGAATCGTTAAGAAGAGCTTGTAGGTAGGCCTCAATTCTTATCTTACTATGGCGTTAGTACTGTTTCGCCATAATGGTAATAATACACCACGAGTAGAGGTGACCTCAGTGCGCTTTAATAAATCGATTGAATATTCAGGTCCTAGGCCACCTGAGGTAGTACTAATGTATCACTCCCATAAATGAAATTTATTAGCATATGTTGGTTTATGCCATCCATTAACTAGGAAAACAAAGAAGGTTGCAATGCTCCAAGATCTACACGCTGCGAGATTAAGATAGACTATATAAAATGTTTTAGCATCGTAATGTCTGAGAATACTATTGGAAAAATGAAGCTAAATGAGTCAGTGGCAAAGTCGACACAAGGGGGCAAGTTTCAGTATGTTTTTGCCACAATTAATGCTCTTTTATATTAATATAATATATTAATAAATAAAAAATAAAAGTAATATGTAATAAACTCTGAATGAAATGAGTCGTTCGCGTGTTAGATATTATGCAATATTTGTAGTTTCTATTGCAAGCCTCCTTTTAACAATACCGTTATATACCGATCAGTGAAGGTAAACGGTAGACAACTCACCGAACGATAACGATCGTCTGTGATTTTACGTTTTTATTGTCTCCTACATAACCTGTCCGAAAAATATGATACACAAAAAAAGGACCGACTACATGTGCAGTTTTACAAAAACCTAGCGTAATGTTTATTTTATCATTGTCATTATGCTCACGTTCGTATATGCGCGAAATACATTTGGAGAACCACAATGCGTCTCATCGTTTAGAGCAATCCTTGTACAATTCGCTGTCAACCGTTTCTTACTATTTCACGTACTATTACTTGCCCTAAACATGCTTCCATGTTTAGCATGGGAGCATGTTTAGGGCATTCATCAACGCTTCGATCTACAAATCAGACAATTAGCAAATATTTAGGAGCATACGTACACTCGAGCCGACTTCCTCAGAACACTTGTACTTCATAGTGAACCAGTTTATACCATACATACGTTCAAAAAAGCTCTCACAGGTTAGCGACTCGCTGCGATTGCCAGTTTCTTTTGTAATCGATCATCACCCTTAGCGGCAATAACACTCGTGTCGTTTTTTCCACAGAAACCATGAACTTGTCGACCGCATTTGAGTCGTAGTGGCCATCAATAGAGCGTCAATATTTAGTAGTATACCATACAATGATAATTTATTATTTAAAAAAAAAGTCTTCTAAATAAATAAAAATTTATTTATTTGCAAAGCCTTCAAGACATGGTTTTTCGATGTCGAAACATTTGCTCGTTGCTTTTTACATAATTAGTATGTAAAAATCAACATACTGTTATATAACATTCTTAAACATACTGAGATTTCATATGAAAATCTTGCGTGCTCGTGTGTCGAGTAATTGATTAGCCATCCATAAACTATAACGGAACAAAACACCACATCAAGCTACACTTTTAGCGCTACAATTTCAGCTATCTACGACCTAACATTAATGGCACGTGTGATTGTGTGACCGTGTAGGTAGGTGTGGTGATTTTACATTTGATGTTCGTATTTGGCGCAAAACTCGTTTTTTCGAAAGTCAAAGTGACATGCACCCTTCGGTAATATACTATTCCTTTTTTGTCGACTCACAGGATCGACTCGGACTTATTATATAGTAGAAGTTACTCTCTTTCTTCATCACTAGAGTGATCCTCACTTCCGGGTTCTGACGGCGCAGGAGTCGATGTTCTTGACTGCGATGGCGATGGCGGCTCTGACATCGGTCGCGGATATTTCAGCTGAAGTTTACAGGATGATGCGTGATCTGCGAACTCGGGATGCGTTTTGTGAATCGCTTCTTGTCGCGCTTTTCTGCAAAAACAAAAGAAACGAATGAACAAAATGAAACTTATGTAAGGCTCTTTCACTGGACAATCGCTTGTGGGTGGTCTGTCCAGAGAACCATAATAAAGCTGGACAAATATTCGTGTGGAGATATAAAATATCAATCCGCTTTCGCTTTTTGCTTGATTGGGTTGTTTTTTGTTTAGACGTTTTCGACAGTTGAGTTGTGAGTTTGTGAGAAATGTCACTCAGCTCAGAATTTCATTGATCAATTGGTTTACCCACAGACTAACACTAAATAACTGATGAAATCAACTAATCTATTTCGATGTATATAGTAAATCATCACTTTTGCGCACGCTTTCAGCATTGTTAAAATTTAACTACAAATAATCGTGGACGAGTCTGTAGTGCCATGTTCCACTATTGACAGCAACTATAGAAGACCTTAAGTTGCTACAATTAATACTTACCTATAGTAAACTCCGAGATTTTTCCAGTCGAGCAAATCACTTAGTCTTTCCGTTCGGTTTCTCTGAATGATTCGCTGGCGTCGGGTCAATTGTGAAAAATCTAACAAGAACTGTGCCAGCTGACAGACACTTTCTTCGGGGCTCATAACACGCCTCTCGACGATATAGATACCGTATGACATGGGATCCGACACGTGCTCCTTGAATTCGGTCATATATTACTTAATTGCAATCACAAGTTTTGCTAACTGATATATTACTCAGTTCGTTCAACACAGCCGTTCATGAAAATTGGTAGTTTTCAAAATGTAGCTAGGTGAAATAATGCACAGTTAGCTGCTGTCTTTTAAGATCGTAGCAATTATATATAGATAGAAATCACTAGCGAACAACAAAAACGTGACACTCACCTGAATAAAGCAGCCGAATCCGGACAGATTCGTCGTAATGCTAGGAATTCCCATTAGGGTGCATTCTGCGGGTGTGTAACCCCATGGCTCGTAGTATGATGGGAACACGCCAAGGTGACAACCCCGCACAAACTCTTCATAATCCATGCTAAATAGTGGATTCGTTGATGATAAAAACTCTGGATGAAATATGACCTTGACGCGATCTTCGCGGTTGTTGAATAGCTGGCAGCGACGGATGGCGTTAAGGACCGGGTCGTTGTCGTCGTTAATGACGTTATGGGTGCACACGGGTGGCAAGTCGTTGCGCTGCGTTGCGTAAATCCCGCGTTTCAATTTGACGATGTCTTCACTGTGCAGTAAATCCTCATTTGATGGAATACGACCGCTAAGTGCAGTTTCGAAGAGCCGTTTTCCAATACGTTTTTGAACTTCGTCGACAGCCTCACGAAGTTGTTTGGCCACAGCCTGACCGCGCAGAGATTCAACGTTGAAATTGTTTGTCTTTGCTGGGAAGATCAGAAAAGCTATAACAGTGACATCGCTTCGAGCCTGTTTTAGTTTGTAGTTTAGGCGAGCCAACGACTCAATAAAGAGATCAGCTCCTTTATTAGAAAATTCGTATCGGCCAGCAATAAAACAATAGATCGTCTTGTCCAGGTCAAAATCGTAATGGCCATAAAAGTGTCCTCGGACAAAATCGTGAATTTTTTCTTTAGCCACAGCGTGCATGTTTTGAAATTCGTGCATAGCGCTGAAACGTTTGACGTTTAGCCCGTTTGGCGTGATTACGTCGGCTTTACGGTTCAGCAGGTGTTGTGCCTCCATAGCAGTGACCTCGGAGACGGTCGTGAAGATGTGGGCTGCGTGGGTAGCCGCTCTTTCCATACAATAACGATGGTAGATGCCGCGGTTGCCCGCTTCCCTATCGAGGTCAAATTTCGACAAATTATTGTAGAAGTCAACGTTGCCCGCGCACAAGTATCTGCCCAGGAGGGTTGCATGTGTTGTAAACACTGTCGAGATGTCAAGTTTACGAAGTCTACACAATAATAGCCCCACCCCTGACAACCACTCGTGAAAATGGGCTACAATGTAAGGCTGGCCGAATCTTTTGTTTACTGCGTTATAGTAGCTCTCCATGAACCACGAGGTCAAATAACCAAAAATAACTGCATCATTAGACTCCTGATCGTGCCACGGTATGCCAATAGCACTCAGTTCGAACAAATGCTTTTTCCACTCGTCCAGCTTCCACGCAGATGAACCAATGTCAAACAGGACAACTTGCGGATAGCCATCGATAAGCCATCGGCCGTAGATCACTCGAACACCTTGTTTCTTAAAGTCTTCTAGCGCCTCGGTAAACGGCCCGGCCGGCGGTTCTAGCACCTCAACTTCGCTTCGTACCAGGACATCATTAATAGGTCCTAACAGGCAGTATTGATTACCTAACTCTTCAACTGACACCTCGGCTTTCGACCGAATAACAGTGTAGATGCCACCAACTTTATTTGCCACTTCCCATGACACTTCAAACACCCAGCGGTTTTCGAGGGCAGCACTCTTACCCCGGTCCAACACCTCCTCCGCTTGGGTGCCATCGAGACGATAGAATCGCTTTGAGACGCGCGACATGACGAAGAACGCAGTGAGAGCTCCAGCTAAAGGAATAACGGTCGCCGCAAACACAAGAGGGATTCGAACGTTCGACGGCCACGTGGTGGCAAATTGGGATGTGCAGGCCCTCAGCAGAGAAGAATCACCCCCAACAATTTCCTTGCCGTCACAGCACCAATTCGGCGCAACTTAGTACTGACGCATAATAAGGCTGACAACTCCACTTCGCACTAGGCTGTGCAGAGAACCAACCGAGCAGCAGTCAGCAACTGCATTCGGCTGAACATTGTAGCTCGCGATCGCTCATCAATTACACTGACGCAGACTAGCAGAAATGGTCCCTGCCTTGCCAGCTTCTATAACCTATAGAGGCTGAGAGTCAAGCCTGCAGGGACCGTGGCCCGCTGCAGCGCTCTCCGACTTCGGGACGTGCGAGCGCACCACTGTGGACAATGCTGCGCTAGTCCAGTTCTCTCAGAAAGATCAGCAATGTCAGTGCAAAGTCGAAAAGGAGAGAGGCGAGAGGGGAGGGACCAAAGGGAGAACGTATCCCGGTTCTAAAGCGCGCATCACGGCGGTGCGATAGTGAAACGAAAGACATGCGCCTGCACGTCGACCTAGCACGAATAGCGCATGATTTGTTGCTGCCACCCTATCCTAGTCTTATGGCAGGCTTGCTAGCTTGAACCCTTCTTCACTGAAAGCCGTCTAAGTTTGAACGATATAAGCGACCCGTCTCTAACTAGTCGATAGCGCGGGTGTATCCGAATGACTGCGCGCTCATAGCTAGATGGCATCCATGATTACGGGCATAAAGGTGCTGTTCGCGCCTGTAAACACCCGCCCATACAAAGCAACAATACACAAATTGAATGGCTATAAAAAAAGTCGACTACACATGTGCAGAAAATGTATTGGGTGGTGGAAAGAGAACTGATGTTTTCAAGGCCAAAATTGAAGTGAGTATCTTTTCATATTTCAAAGCAATATTTCTAAAGTAAATATGCGCCACTCTGATCGATAACCTTCTGTAAAATTATTATCCTATCTCTGTAGAGTCTGTGTGGTTTATGGGCGAAATCCTCTAATTACCACTATTAGGAGTTCACCAAATGCCGAAACAGATAATTGACGGCGCAAGATCCGCACCATACAGCGAATAAGTCAGAATTTTCCATCCATGTTCTCTGTATTTCTGACGTGCTTAAATATGTATGTGGTACAGCAATGCGGATAATAGTAGACGACGACAATTTCTTAGTTTCAATCGTTTCTTTCAATGGCTCTTTTCCCGGCGACAGTAGTTTTATAAACATGATTCCTTTCCAATTCGTCCGAAGACACATCAGTTTCTTTGAGGTCAGTCCGCGCCTTCTCACAGAATCACATTACTGTTATGTAACTCACCTTTCATCATCCGTGATCAACTGTTTAACAGAAATATCGAATCCATTGCCTTTCTATATACGGTCGGATGTCGATAAAAATACAATCCGATAAATTTCTTCCGCGTTAATTCGTGTGGCACTCATCTTTTTCCCGCTCGATTTCTAGTTTCTTGGCGATGTCGTGGGGTGCTCGTTGACGTGTCTCTTAATTTTTCGTCACTGATCGACCACTATAAGGTGCATCGAAGCATCCAAAATAAAAGTGACGAAGACGATCTTTGGGTCGTTTTTCCCAATAACGCATTTGGCCGTAGACGGCATAGATTGATCTGCATAGCATTTAGAGCTTTGTCGTAATTAAAAAAAGCGGGTGCTTACAGAAATTTCACAAAATCTTCGAAGGACTGTCCCAGGTTTTCCAATAATCGTAGCACATTTACTACTTTGAATTCTATCTGTCAGATAACACCAATGATATCGACTCGACGGGACATTACCTGATATAGGTGACTTGAAAACCGTCTGACTCGAAAAATCGTTTGTATGTTTTTTGACACCCCAATAAAGATCCGTTTGCTATTATAATGATTGAAAAACTAGAAATCCATCATATAATTGAACATTTTAATATTGTTACTCACGTTTTAACCAGCGCTAAAGCTAACTGACGATGGAAATGATATTCCTGCAAATTTCTGAGCCAAAAGAGGCACGAAAAACGAGGCGTCCTCACCAATGGCTTCATCAATGTTTTTTGCCAAACACTACAAAAGCTCGACCACTGACAAGTAGCCTCATCGTCGTTGCAGACGTCAGATTAACCCAGATATGTAGTTACAGCGACTGGAGGTTACGGATCTCGCTACCGCGTCACACCGTTCACTAACAAAAGATTTGCGCGCTCTAAAACCTAATGGCAATTCCACCTTTTACAGTCCGCAGTACGGTATTACTGTTGGGGCTACGACATTGTTATTTCTAGTAAATCAGAAGGGAAGATTTACGTTTTTCCAGCTCTGTCGATAATGAAAGGTGCGTTTGGGGATACAAAATACTGAATGAAATAATGAAAAGTGAAAGTTTTATTTAAAGTTTAATTTAATAGAATTCGGAAAAATATTGAATACCTATGAACTTGAAGTGAAATTTTATTTGATATAGAACTGTCTTGTTTTTGTCAGGGTGAGTGCGTAGAGGTTCTTTACTTATTTGGGATATATTGTTGGTATCGAGGGTAAGTTATTTATTCACTTGTTTTAGAGATCGGCTTTATTTCTAGAAACATGGCCCTGATAGAGTTTCGCATACGTCCCATATAACTGGGATCGCGAACTTGTACAAATCATCGCTAAAGTCAACTGCGCTGTCTGCTTATCGCAACTATCTGTTAAACTATCCTTACACAGACCCGGCGCCACAGTTTGTTGGATGGTATAGACTGTTATTGTGCAATTTGCTACTGGTGGCTTCCTATGAGAAACGATGCAAGGAGAAAAAAATGTTGTGAATCCTTATGAATCCTGAAACGCATGTTCCTACCAAAGCATTAGCTGGCAGGTAGAAGATTCACCAGTCAATCGCAAAAGAAACGTACCTATGGCATAACACACGTAGCTCATATTTTGATTTGCATATGTTTCGAGGGACGAACGCGAATCTCTAGGGTACCGGTATCTTGTTCTGAATTATGAATGAACGAGCTGAAAACGCCCAAAAGTATAGAAAAGTAGTAGAGAGGAGTCTTCCTTTGTTGATCCTTGGCTGGGAGTGCTTGTCAGCTTGAGACTTCTAGAGCAGTATTATAGGAGGTATGCACGTCCAACCTTACGGGCACGCACTTGTTACATTTTGCGCTTGCTGGCTTTTTTTGGTCAAGTTTATTGCGTTATTGGGAAGACAATTCCACCTTGCTCTGTGTTTGCTAGAATATAATTTTCGGTAACATTAAATACAGGTGCCTACAGGTGCACCTGTTGAAAATTAGATCTGCGTCAAAATCAGAGATTTAGGAAGGGTTCAGTATGAGCTTCATTGTGTTATTACCGTATATAGATAACTCAATATATCACAAGTACCAATGACGTTTTTCGGAAAAGCTGCCTTTATGAACTCGCTTAGACATCGGGCCAATAGTTACTACCTACAGGGATGGACGACACATCTGACCACGCACCTAGAAGGAACACTGTGGTTTTTGAGAAAACCAAGTTACAGAGTAAATCCCTGATTTATCATCATAGACAGAAAGTCATCTACTTCAAACCGCTTATAACTGCTGGCTTTTAACGTAGTCTACAGAACACATTGTTTTCATTTCGACAGAATCGATGCGGATTCTGAGGAGGCGGACCGGCCAAAAACTGTGTAATGATGGCCTCTCATAGCCGGAGCTAAAATAAGACCAATCCATAATAAGTCAAGTCAGCAAATACGGTTGAACACAAGAAGAAACAGCTGCCCTTGGTATAACCACAACGCTGAGCACACCGAAGCAAGTGAATGCAAGTGGACAAGCTGCATGGAACTTATCTACAAATGCTTTTGTTTCAATAATAATGTTTTACTAAAAAACACCTACTGCACAACGAACTAAAATTCTAACTTTTGAAGAGATGGGGCCTTCTAGAGTTTTCGCTCTTATTCTGTTTATTGGAACTTCGGGAAACCTAAACTGAGTATGAATAGGAAGTATATAACGTACTCGATCGAGTTAATAATAGTGTGCAATTTCCCAAAAATATGAAAAAAGTTGGGCGCAATTGTCTGTCTTTTACCGGCCCTCGCTGTTATTGCGCAACCCAGCCTACTATTTTTATTCTAATTTTGCACAGTGTTTATTTATTTACTATGCTAATATGGGATTAAAGGACATATTTTCGGCTATTCTCACGACGTATTCATCTCTTAGCTCTTTCTTGAAAACATTGATTGTCTTAGCATGTATTTTTCTATTTGTAATAATCGAGTACCCGTGTATACAATATATGTATGTTGCTATCATTTATTATTATACTGTTATTATTGTTATTATATTTGAAACTGTTATATAAAAATACACGTCTTCTGTTTTTCATTCGTGCATAACATCTGTACTGATTTTTTCTTACTTTCATATAAAAAAGATGGCATTTCTTCTATATAATGCGGGGGAATATAAAAGACATTCGAGAGCCGTAGTCTCCTAGTATTTGTTTCTTCAGTGGCACCGACTGCTAGCATTTAATATAAACAAAATCCTAGCAAGATTTTAACAGTGCACTCTTGTCGCACTCTTCGTGAATAGAGTGGATACGAAAAATTGTTACGCATTGGCATTTTCGCAATGGAACTTTTCTCTCCTTTTGCTATGTCACAGTAATTTCCGTTCTTATTATTGATACTGCTACCGTTTGGGCAGTGCACGTTAATTCCATTATAGTAAATTTTAACTTATTTTACAACTATAATTTTTCTAGATATGGAACAGAATGAAAAATATTTTTTTCATCATATACCACATTTTACCATATCAACTAATCAATTTTACTAGTGATTCTTATTCATATCTATTGCTTAGAAACGGCCAAGTTAATAGTAACAGGACCTCATCAATAAACTCAACTAAATGCTAAAATCATAGATCGAAAGATATAAGTGACCCTCTTGCCTCTACTACATGATTTCCCTTACCATCAAGTGGAAAAGATCTTATTACGATATACCAAGGTTTCAACATTGAACCTACAGACATTCCTTGTATACATGCCTATTCCAATCGTGCGCGATTAAAATGATAGTTCCGTTAATAGACTATTGCTTCTATAATTAAACATATCTCTCTACAAATTTATGAATAAATTAAAGCATACATTGCATTCTACAATGATTTTATTTTTACATTAACATGATGACATGTAAAGCAATAGTTCAAAAACTAAGCAGTTTAATATATGAAACCCGCAACAGTTAACGTTTGGTTACTGAATTACAGACGCGCCGGAGCTAATTGGGCGCTACCTTGCCGACTTTAGAGTACTCAAAAAAGATTTACCCCATAATCCATTTGCAATCTAGATATTACACACCTCGCTGGATGTAACCCAGCGCTGAGAATCCGAATTTGCGCTACTGGCCCGCCAAAACCGACACAGTATTTATCAAACTGAAACGATCTATGATTTGGAGCGAAGTGACACACCGAAAAGGCACTGCGGTGCTTTAGCCAGTTGGTAGACATGCTTCGTAACACACTAGTACAAGTTACGCTTTGCTCATTATTGGGTTATTTAAATAGCTTAAAAACCTCGTCCGAATCTTTTCTGCTCAAGGATTGCGAACGCTGCAAAATATTCCAGACAGAATTTCGATGAACCGCCCCGTCCAGTTTGATGTTATCGAGATCATCGTCGCTGTCTTGACAGCCGCATTGAGTGTATGAGTTTTCTTATGCATCTATTATTGTGTGTCTGTTTTGGTTTCTATCGTCGCTCACCACTCAAACCAGCGTTGCTGTAAATCGAACAGCAGCTGTTACGGATATATAGCGACACACTGATCCGTCGTGTATCCGGAAGGGTGGGTTAGCTATCGGGAGAAAGCGAACGACAAGAATAACAGAACAAAGAAAGTCTTCTCTTCGTGTAAAGAATCTCCATTGTGCGCAGATGTGCAGTGAGTTTATCTGAGTGTGCATGCGACAATCGTTTCCTCTGTGTGGGTGGACAGATCGGCAAAGTGTACGGCGGTATGCCCTGGTGAATTTGAACATAAACTGGCTGCCAACTCTATCTAGCCACAACGTCGATTGGCACGATGTTGCCAATCCACATTGACGACAAGGAATACAAATATCGCAGTGGTCCAGGCCGTGTCAAGGAATGGTTGCTTCACTGGATCAGGTGGGTTGAAATGGCCGGCGAGAATGAAATATCAATTGGCTGGCCGGAAACAGGCAACATCAGGGAAGTACCAGAAGCAGGTGCACTGAAACGTGGCGAGTTCAAGTTACCCTGCTGTTGGAGTGGCAGCAAAGGCTAGCGAATAGCAGACATGATTTCACTTCTACCGTCTTAATTGATACTGCTCTTGCTATCGCCATCGATTGGTTACTGTCTTCTGTCAGACATGGCGGTAGGGCTTGCCGAAGGCAGGTTGAGATAGAATTTACCGCTCGTGGTGACAAGGTTAATTCGAATTAATGAGACTGGTACTGATGAAGCATCGTTTCGATTATGTAGTCGGCTCTTTTTGCAGAAGACAATGTTTGGCCTTAGAAAATATATTTCTATCAAAATACTGGCCCGATAGTTAAGACACTGTCACTAACTGACAACAAGTGGTAATTATTTGGTTCGCCGAGATTGCATAGGGTACCCATTTGGTGACATAGTGATCGTGTGGCATTACATGCGTGCAGTGTAATTATAAGAAACAGGGAGTACCTACTCGTGCCGTGTTTTGCAAGTATACTGTAAGTTCATACAGAGGCTGTTGACTAACTTGTAAGTTCATAGAGAGGCTCTTGACTAACGTATATATATGGGAGAGGGGAAGAACAACAAAGGGGCTATCAAAAAATCGTTTGGTTTATACAGTACCTGATTAGGAGTGTTTGAGAACAAAAGTGAAAGACTATAATTCAATTTCAAATTAATAAAGAGGTATGAGTAGCTGTCGGGTGTTACTGACACGAGCACAACTACTATACTGTAACTAAGATAAGAAAATATAAATCAATTGGCTATATTCGAATGGAGAATAATTAATAGAAAACATTGAGCGTCTAGAACAGAGAATCAAGAAAGTTCCTTGATCAAATGAAAGTTTTAAGAAATACATTGATATAAGTAACCACAGCTGATGTTAAGTCACTGATGATAAGTAAGAGTGGAGAAATTATATTTTATTACATCCAACCACTCCTGCAGTCACTTAAGTAAGGGGCCGTCCCCGAAAGGGTACAACGAACTACAGTTCCGACAATGACGATACAAGATTAGAGGGTAACAATTTTTCGCTCACGCCTCGGGCTAACGCGTAAGTCAGAGTGGATAATACAGATAATTTGAGTACAAAAGTTATTATCGTGATTAAAAGAACAATCCATAAAATATTCTAATTATACAGCTATAATGCACGCGCAAGCATAACGCGTACGCGCTGGTGTCCACTCGACTTAACACCACGCACATTTAGCACACAGTGTCACCATAAGGGTTTTATCCGTCTCACAATTATTTGATGAGAGTCAACGAATCAGTTGTTCAACGGCGTTTCTTCCAAAATCGCTCATCCGAGGTAACTGTTAGTGCCCGCAGTCACTGAAGTTGTTGAGGAATGGTCGGTGGTGCCGCTAGTTTTTGGGCTTGTCAGGGCGGCTATAGATGTTACCGAATCGATTCTGTCGATTACATCTGGGTTGCCGCGAGTGGACCGTAGAAGTGTGCTGGTACGTCTATTCTATGCACGTAAGAGGGATCGGATATTTATCCTTATGTTGAACTGAAACATTTGGTTGAACAGGCTGGCCATCGGTCTCGAATTATCGGAACTGCAATTTTAGGTGTCATTTGTCTCTGCGTTCGTTGAAGAGCAACCACGTGACAGTGTACCATCGGCAAAAGTGCTAATAATTATTATTCGGAACATTGGTTGCAGCTGAAGATTGACGGCTTTCGTTATCCGGATGAGCGTAAGAAGTACATGGACCGCGCGACCATCGATACGCTCAGCTTGGTGCTGTCAACCACAGCGACATTTGCCCGTGCATGAAGCCTCGTCTAAAATCCTATTTGCACCTTATTGATTACCTAACCGGAACGCCTTAGCTGCGAACGTTGCCTTCAAAGCCATGGTCATTCTAGAATCCAGAGACTAAACAACGTATATGTCGTACTGGAGCGTTTTTCCGCAACTATAGACCTCAGAACGGGGCGCCAAATTTTTCAAAGTGCCATCTGCATTTTATAGAAAAGCTAGTGTACCATAGTCCACGGGTTCGTCTTGTAGATTTTCCACTAAATAGTGTTTGTTGACAGAGTGTTTCCTGTTTCTTCCGTGACCTAGTGATCTAGCAATGTACTCACTCCGGGTTCTTTTTGGAAGTTTCTAATGAGCGGTATGAAACATCTGGAATGGCTATTAGATCCATGTAGCGTCGTAATGGTCGTCTCATCGGTACTGCCGTTGACCAACGATGCATCTACTATGCCTTTATGTTTATGTCCCCGATTCCTTTTACTGATTGGGCTAAAATGTGAGTAAGTATCTCGTTTGCTCGTTCACATTAGCACTTGCTTTAAGATATATGTGAGAAGATTAGATGTTGCTTGATACCCAAATAAATAAAACGGACCTGTCTTTTAAGCTGGAAAGCAAACAGGTGAACTCGCCATTACAATCTGATATAATTAATGCAGTTTCTTGGAATCCTTCCAGAGGGATATCTGCAAAAATGTTTCCAGAAAACTTAGCTTTGGACCGTCAAGTCCATCAGCTCGTCCTTTCTGTTAGATATAAGTCAACTCTTCTAGACGGAATGTTACCGGTAGCATACCGTGTGACAACAAATGCTGGGCTGGCATTAGGGCCAGTCGTATAGGACAACTCCCATGCACTAGTTTAACCACGACGATACAATCGTAACGCAAGCCACAGACGCGGACGTACTGGTTCCGCTTATATTCGTAGTTATAGCAGAAACTTGAAAACCATGCGCATATCGGCTTCTGTATGATGACCAGCAATGGACATTGAGAGAATAAAACGAAACTCAATTTATTATTCATACATTTAGTAGAAATAAAATGACAACAATTATGTTAAGTAATTGCGAAAGGCCATGTAAAAAAAGCAAACCGGAATACGGAATACTTTTCCGCAGTAGGATGCTTGAAAGAAAGAACCTATTATGAATGAGCTGTGCAAGATAAATACCTAAAGAAACCCTGTTGAAAGAGTAGAATAGGCAGACATCTTGCAATCAATTGTTGCAGACATTTTCAGCCCATTCTAGCTGTCAAAACTCTATCAAACCTCGCTTTTGGCTGTACATAATGCTAAACATAGTTGGACAGCAACGTCCCATATTGACGATTCGAAGCAGACGATTAAACCTAGCTATCCTCGTCAAAAAGAAAACAAATAGCTTTTAATAACCCAAATAAATATATTTTATGTAATAATGCCATAACTGAAATCATATACTAAAATATAGCGTAGTTAAACAATTCAGTATGATCTTTATGCCACAGTCAACCTTCGGAATACTGCGTAGTACAGTATAGAAGATGACGTTGCTACGCTCGCCAGTGTGTCTTACTGTTTGTCGATTGAGCCTAGGCAACCTAAAAGTTACGTATCGTGTCCATTGATGAAGGTTGTTTCACTGGTGCTCATACACGTATGGCATACAAGCTCCAGCAGAAGTCGACCTAAAAAATGCCTGCGGACGCGATTGCTGACGGGTTGACGGCTTAAAATTAAGAATTTCACTTGGTGCGTTAGCATTCGCTGAACTGTTACTATCAAGAGCCATTTTCATCATAGAAATCGGAAGCATTTTAAATAAATTGTATATACAAATTATAAGATTTCCAAAGGATTCATCACTATGTATCATTTCATTAATTGCGCCTTTTTGGTGCATTAGAAACCATGTGTATGTAGAAGAAGACTTATTATTCACTGTCAGATAAAAACGTCAAGGTGTTTCAGTTGGACTTGGTTGTTTATTTTTCATCTGATTGGTTGGTTGCTGCTCGCTTAGATAAAACTAAAACCTGCTTTGAATTTGCCGCGTCATTAATTATTATTTGCCGCGGCAATTAATCGTTCATGTAAAATATGAATAAAACGACAGAAAGAGCAATTATGGCTGCATTAAAAGTTCTGCTTTCCCTTCCCCTTCCCGTCAGTTTTATCAGTGACAATTTTTGCTATATTAATTAAGGTAAATACATGAGTAAGTAGAAACTGTTCCGCTATCAACTATTTGTAGTACTAGGTATATGGAGACATCTATTAGTTACGTCTGTAGCGTCTTTGTGTAACTTCCGCAAGTAGTTCGACTATTTCTGTCGTCTTAAGATTAGACCCGTGTACAACAATGAAGTAAAATATGAAAGGTGATTTTGTGCTTACTATGCGCATAACGATTTCCTGTACTGTCAGTACTATAACAAAAAATAGCCTAACACGAAAAGCTAGTATTTTTTTTTATATTATATTGACAATGGAAAAGCTACAAAGACACCCAGGGCTTTTGAAAACTATAGCGCTAACGGTGAACGGTGTCATAACTTCCTTGTTACATAAATCACCAGGCTTTCTGCAAGCTGAGTGGAAAGGTATATTTAATTATGACGCAGCTACAGCTAGTAGCGCATTTTATAGACAAACCGCCCATGATTATTTCGTGGTTGCGTGAACAACAGCCCTTCGCGGATATATAGAGCTGCAATTTTTATAAAATTGATTGCTTAAAACAGGAGCTAAAGATATCCAGATGTGTACCATTATTATTAGACAAGCGGGACGATAAGATCTTCTTCAAGTCTTGTGTATATCTCTGCAGTAGTTTTTCTTGTGCCAGCGTACCGTAGCATGCTGATTTTACATTGATTTTTCTTTGAACCAGTGACTTTCTATCCGAGAGAAAAATACGGCAGCGCCTGTATTATTCTCGAAATACGGCAAATCAGTTTGATTTGACTATGTTACGGTAATGATTCCGTGTGATCGTACAGCGAACACGGTAGATGGCGTCCCCGCTGGAATGCCGAAGGAACTGTTTGGCAATCCAAGTGTTTTCTGCAAGGTTCGTTCTTATGCTATGCCCTGTCTCTCTTCAGAGTCGTTCTCTCCGATCAGGCTACAAGGAATCTGTTCCTGTTCCTCTGTATCAATCTTGGATTCGCCTTCGTTGAGCTCTTCTACGGACTGTGGACGAATAGGTGAGTACCAGCATGAAATAAAATATATATAGAAAAGTCTGAATGCTTGGAGTCTAGTTCAAGCTACTAGGGTTCACAGCGTGTACCTTTTCGTCTTTAAGTTACGTAAAGAGAGACGATCATCTGCTAAGAAATATACGTGGAAACTATTGTCGATTACTAGTATCTACTAAGGGACTGCGAAGGTACAGTTGGCACTTAAAATTTGCTAGGTAGAAGTAATTACTACTATACGTGAAAAGTTAATGTAAGTTGTCTTGACTAGCTTTTGTGCATCTAACTTCTATTGCTGGCATTATCTAATTGTAGCTCATATTATCCCTACTCAATTTTGGCAGTTTGGGTCTGATTTCGGACTCATTCCACATGTTCTTCGATTGCTCGGCACTTGTAACCGGCTTAGTTGCGTCTATTATTATGAAGTGGCGACCCAATGAACGATTCACATTTGGATACGTACGGGCCGAAGTGTTGGCAGGCTTTGTCAATGGACTTTTCCTCGTGTTCATTGCATTCTTCATCCTTTCAGAGGCCGTTGAAGTAAGTAATTTTGTGTTTAGTTGTATTCTGCGTACAACCACGATAACTCACTTTGGTTGAAGGAAAAGCTAGCTACTTCAAATATATGTAGTGCAAGATGAATACCACTGCTTCTGAATAGTTTTTCAAACATTGAAAGTAGATATATTTTTATTACTTTAATTATGTACTATGCTTGCTTTAAATGCACAAACGCTATCCCGTTATCCTATGTATCATGTGTAGAAAAGCTGTTAGATTTTACTTCAGGTAATTTTATGGTCGCTGTTTGGCCAAGGGCGGCATACAGCACTTAGTAATTTCGTTTTAATATTACTGTTGTTTTGCGATGCTTAAGAAGTTAATGGGTAACACATTTCTAATAAGAGGTATATGCCGTTCTTTCATCTTTTCTTACACTACTATAGCGGCTAATGGAACCTCCAGAGGTGAAACACGAACGTCTGTTCCTGGTCTCCGTTGCCGGACTCTTCGTGAATTTGATCGGCATCTTCGCTCTCAACCATGGAGGTCACGGCCATTCTCACGGTACGGCTGTTGCTATTAATATAGCCAAATATAATATTAACAATAAACAAGATATAGAAAACAGTCACATACTTCAGGCTTCGTAATAAATAGTCTAATAAACTTCGTACTAAGAATACATGTAGAGAAGGTTGTTTTAAGCAGAGTTAATGGGTTTTGGTTGGCGTTGTTGTTTTTATTGCTAATGGTGGCGTAGCGCTATTACCTTCCTTTCTTATGCAGGCAGCAGTGGGCACGGTCACTCACATGACCATGGACACGTTCACAATCATGGATCCGTTGACAAGACAGACAATATTCTACTCAATATGGCTGGAGTAGGCACAGGCCATGAAAATGGGTTGCCTTTAAATGGACACACGTCTCACGGTGGTCATGGCCATAGCCACGGAGGTAATTACAAAGAGCTCTCTATTTTCCCATCAAACATTCGTAGCTGCAATTTCTCATTCATTACTTACGCACGCAATGGCAGAGTAAGAAACAGAGCCAAATAACAGGTCGTGTCAGACATACTTTTTTTTTCGGTCATATAAGGACTAAATTTCGCGAACACATACTTGCCCTTCTCCATTTTACGACCTATGCTTAAATATTTTCACGGCTAGTACTGTCATTAGGCATTTTTTCAGACGACTAATTTTCAGTACAAAAGGAAGTGTGTTTACGCCCGGATCTACTAAATCACTTGACGTTTCATTAGGTGTACCGAGACAAATACAGCAGTTGTACAGAGAGCTGCCAACTAATCAATGTTTGTCCAGTAATTTTAGCTAAATATGGCAATATACATACCGTGTTGCCGTTGCCCCTGTTTTCTGTCTGCGTTTGCTGTGTTCGATCAGGTTCCTCCTGCAGCACAGGAGTTGGAAGCCGAAGTCAGTTAATGCAAGGTGTGCTCTTGCACATTCTGGCGGATACGCTTGGTTCTGTAGGCGTTATCGTCTCAGCCTTTCTGGTGAGCCAGTTCCGTTGGATGATTGCCGATCCCCTCTGTTCGATGTTCATTGCTATACTCATCTTGATCAGTGTTTACCCACTCCTAAAGGAGTCCATTTCAGTTTTGATGCAGCGAGTCCCACATGCACTTGATGGCCAGCTGCAGTCCTGCTTCCAGAGAGTTAGCGCTTTAGACGGCGTTTACAGTGTACAGGTAAGGCTTACGTACAAGCATTACCCGGAGGTTTGAGTTCTTCGAAATATATCTATACGAAGTGCGGCTAGTAGTTACTAGTAATTTATAATAATTAAATAAGTATATTTTTAAAAAGTCTACAATTGGTCGCTGCAATGCATTGAAATGCATTCCTTTCTTAAACTCAACTGTACGCCTAATTCTTTTTTCAGGATAAGCACTTTTGGACGTTGTGCAGTGGTGTTTACATAGGCAACATGAAGCTGGAGGTCGCACGAAGAGCCGATCTTTCTCAAATTCTCAGTCATACACAAGCCATCTTCAAACAAATTGGCGTCGACAAGCTCTATGTACAGATGGAGTACGCAGCAATGTAGATTGATGAGTTGAGTGGTTGACACAAATCAAAAAGTCTAAGTAAATAGCCTGCTAAGATAATGTTGTGGTCAACAGCGCCGTTGCCGCTGGAACTCGTCCAGTGACAGGTACGATCTTTCATCATCGAGGTGAATGGCCCCGGCTACCGATCCAGTGTAAAGAACCGAACAACTAATTCTTGTAGGAATGTATGACACTGTTCGATCTGCTACAGCTGCCGGTGTGGTTGGTATTTTCAATGCAATATTGACGCAAAAATGGCGGCTATCCAGGCTAGAGTGCTTGTCCGCCGCTTTAAACGAATGTACAGGAAACGCTTAGATGTGACCCAACCATCCTGTACTGGTTGACGTTGCGAACACTTGCTCATGACAGTGAATAACTGGATTTCATATTGAGTGTATTCGTAAATCACACCTTTTTCCATATGTCGTGTGAAAAAATGCACATGGTAACAGATGTTAGTTACGACTTCACGTGGGTAACTAGTAACTCATAAAGAAAATAGCGGAAAAGACGAATTTAGTGAATCGTAGAGGAAAAACAAAAGGAGGATGAGAGAGTCACTGAACATTTAAGGAATGAACATTCTGTGTGTAGAAGTGGGACAACAGAAACGTCGAAAAACTGTATAAGTATTGTCTACCATATGAATTTGGCGGATTAGCTAGGTTTTTTTTTGGCTGGGCTAGATTATAGCTAGCCTTGATCAGGCTGAATCAGTACTGGATCAGTATACAGCAGTATTCGATCTTCCTTTGATTCTACCGTTCGGGGCGCAAGATGGATTTTTGTTCATAATCTTTCGTAAGAGTATTAGCTAGGTGGAGTGATATTCATAAAGCAAATCACCCATCGGTCCCAGTAAACAGAATGCTATTGAGTCATTGCCTTGTCTATGAACTGCGTAGCCGAGCGTGCACACATTGGTTGTTTTGCTTTCTATATCAGGCAGCAATAGAGGAAATCTGTATTGTACATAGTTTCAGTCTAAAGCCTATTAAACGACTTCTAGCTTCTAGTTTCTTATTCCTAGAATATTTTTATTTTAAGGTGATATCTGGTGGAGAAACAACCATGGTTTATACGCAACCATAGTCGTATGATGAAAATTAAATAAACCAATACATTCATAGGAGACATGACATTTAACTATATCTTAATTAAATATAAGAGGGAGGAATCCAGTCGTTCAGAAATGCAAAATATAGTACACACAGATCTGTTATTAAGAGATTTATAATGTCTAAAGCATATATATATATATATATATATATATATATATATATGGAAGGTAGAAACTTATGTTAGGACTGGGTAATTGTAATCAGAGTGATTGTGCGAATGAGTACAGGTTGGGTGACTATATGACAGACAGACAAAAGGATAGGGGCATGAAGGGCAGTGCGTGGGTGTGAAGATCAAAATGATTCGCGAGCACGCTAGAGCACAGAAGGGTGTACCGAGTGTGCAACAAAACCGAATAAAGATGTAAAATAATAAATGTTAATATTTTCATGTATATAAATGTAATTTTTATTTAGAGACATATGCATGCGCATGCAACTAACAAAGGTAGCAGATTGAAAAGATGCTTTAGATATTTATGTCTAGGATGCCCTTAGGACCGCAGTGAGATGAAAAGGACTTTGGTGCACGTAATGAAATGTGAAATGATCCAGCGCATTCGGTGGACGTAAAGGTTCTTTGATTCATTTGCTTACGTCTAACCGCTCCTAATAATAAATGTTAATATTTTCATGTATATAAATGTCATTTTTATTTAGAGAATATGCATGTGCATGCAACTAACAAAGGTAGCAGATTGAAAAGATGCTTTAGATATTTATGTCTAGGATGCCCTTAGGACCGCAGTGACATGAAAAGGACTTCGGCGCACGTAATGAAATGTGAAATGATCCAGCGCATTCGGTGAACGTAAAGGTTCTTTGATTCATTTGCTTACGTCTAACCGCTCCTATGCATGTGACCACGTTTTGAATGTTATTATTTAAATGACTGTTTCTATGAGTAAACCATTCTACTAGTTAGAGACACCGACTTCACTAATACCGTATATTGTGGGAATCTCTTATCTCGTTTTATTTGATCATCCCGTCAGGAAAACAATTCTTCCCATTCACAATGGTGTACCTCTAATTAAACTGTTAGATAGCACTGATAAACTTAAACATTATATTTATTACGTACATATTATTAATGGTATACACAATGATTCTTATTCTCATAGTAGTGCTTTCCAATATTATACAATGAATTACATATGTACAGTATGTACAGTATATCCATTTGTTGGTCACATGGTGTCGTGTCACTATATTTACCAAGCTGTCTTGACAGGCTTTACTGGCACAATCATTTAGGGTCTTGGTGTCTCCTGTCGCTTTGGAGTGAATTTCATTCGAGCTCTTTTACGACCCTCGTCATTTTTCGCCGCACCACTTCCATCCTCAGTCGTTCCGGATGCCTGCTGTTGCAACTCCTCCATTTGTGTACGCCTTTCGACTACGGAGTGTATATGCGTAAGTTCGTCGAGCGTCCTATCTAATAGATTGCAAAAGTCCATGGCGTGATCTTTGTCCTAGAGAAAATCATGAGATAAGGGTGCGGTATATCCACATGAGTTTGAGAAACGTTTAAGCACTAAAGGTTATCGCACAAGTTATTTGCATTAAAATACCTAATTGCTTGTTGTAGCCAATAACTTTTTTAAGGATATCAAAATCCTATACAATGAATAACACGATCCACACAAACGGTAACTCACATTTAACGACTCCAATGACTTCTTGTTTTTGGTAAAAATAATTCTAAGCTTCCGTGCAGAAGTAAATAAATCACGCGTTTTTCAACCGTATTGTTGCTTTTAAAGGCAAGTACCATACGTAGGCTGACCAGTTATCATGATAACCAACTAATTTAATGTGAAAAATGTCCAAACTAAACGTACGATCTGGCGACAGTCACTAAGCACTTTCGAGTTTTTTATAAATTCTTCAGAAACACAGAGTTTCTATAAGGGTCATGTTTTGTACTTGTTAGTGGCCGGTAGTAGTTTTGGCTATAGAACTCTACTTCGCTGTACAAGTTTCCAGAATCTTGCGTACGTCACGTTTCACTGTGCACAGCTCAACTGCTTAAGCTCTGGAGGTAGTAACGGTAACGCAAAATATATAGTTTCCTAAAAGCATTTTGTTTGTAGTAAATGGAATTGATTATGTAAACTGGTACGCCTTTTACATCCTCAAAGGATCATTGTTCTTGATACACCCGCTGTGTTGCTACTGTGGCGTGGATAGCTAAACTTGCGGTTGAAAGAACCAGAGTCGCTAGTTAAAGTACCGCTATAGACAAATACTACACAACATATGCGATCAGATAAAATTTGGGAATCTAACCGTCGCCTGAGAGAATCCCATTCCAAGTACAATGAATCGTTAGCACAAAAATATGCATTAAAACGAACTAGAGCATAACTCAAAGCGATCTCAATGTTCAGAACAGATAAAACAGTACGAGATAAAGACCTCTAAAGTCTAACAAATAACAGTAAGTAGCGTGACAAGCAAGGTTGCATTGAGATTACCATAGGTTACTCACCATATCAGATTTAACAGCTTGAATCATTTTAGGCCACATTTTGAGGGCATCAAGTGGCATTTCACTTGAAACAGGAGTCTCAGGATTCATTGCGTCTTTCATGCCCTATTCAGACACTGGACGGGTCAGTTCACTTGTGTTGATTGTCACGAAACGATTTCGTGCTACACTGTTTCTGATAATAGTTTACCCTAACACGCACAACCTAGTTAAGTATTTTGAGCTCACGAGAATTTTTCAGCTACCAAAGATTCTCGAAAGATCACGAGGATCTAATCAAACCTTCACCTGGCACGATACGTTGTATACGACAGCATATGAAATTAGTATACAACGACACAACATCGGAATGTGTGAACAGTCTGACCATCCGATACACACCCTCCGCCAATTTGCAGCAGAAGTTCCGCGTATTAAAGCACGTGCTTACGTTGTTATTTCGACTGGAATAGTGAACTGAAGTTCATGTGATGCATATATCCTGTTAACGAGTGGAAAAGTGTATTCATTACTCCAATTATTCAGCGTTGTATCCCTCTATACAAATATGGAGAAGAAAAAGTATCTGAAAAAGACAAAGGGGAGGGAAAAAGCATCGGACAAGGTTAGAAAAATAATTAAATAATAACGTTAATGTAAGTGTCACTTCTACTGCTTAGTTTGGTATCTTATGTAAAGGACATAGGTTATTCCAGTTGTAACTAACATTAGTTCTGGTCATAACCAGAATGACAGGTGAAGTGTTTTTTTAATTTATTTCATTGTCCTGTAATTGCCTGCTATATCGTTTACTCAATTTTACTAATCACGCAATAGGCTATGCCTTTTTTCTAATATTCCCTTTATGTACTTCTTCGGTAGTAGAAACTGATATATAATGGCGTAAATATCTTGTGCGCTGAAGTAGATTTAAGCTAGCGTTGATCTGCTTTTGATGGCCGCGAGATTTAGTGAACGCTGATGATTATTTAGGCGTCCGCATTTTAAATCAGGCTTTGCTACCAACATTCTTTGATTAAATAATATAGTATGAAAAGGTCACTGGCAAATAAAAGGTATGTGAAGAAACTAAAACTTGTTGGGAATAATTAAACCAGTGTTACTTTAAGACTACATAGGTATTGTGTATGATATGGTTTTTTGTGAAGCTCCCTTACGCTTTAACTTTTTTTTTTATAAGAATTAATGCAATTTTTTAATTTAGTGGCAAGCAGTCTATTTCCCAATGTTTGTGTCCGATTTTTAAATACAAGAATGAAAATTTGGATTCTTGTGTCCACGACCCAGCTGGTCGAGATAAGATAACGCGTAACGTCAGTCAAGATAAATTTTAACCTTGACACTGAAATAATCATTCAGATTGATTTAACTATTAAATGGTTCATTTCACCTCTCTCCTCAGTTCAGCTTTTCTAACATAGAAATTATGTTCCACAGGAAATGGAAATCGACAGCGAGATGCTTGAACATCGATCCGAAGTAAACGAGAATTCCGAAGACGAAATGGAAGGATTTGAAGCAGAGAAGCTGCTTGCAGCCGTATCGAAAAACAAATCTGGAGGATTCCAGGCACTCGGCCTCAGCCACAATATCTTAAAGGGCATTCAGAAAAAAGGCTATAAACAACCAACGCCTATTCAACGCAAAGTACGCTATAATTCAAATTCAAACATGCCTATTTTAAAAATACGTTCTGTACTGTTTAGTTTGTTGGTCATAAACACGGGTTAGAGGCGTGAGCACAGTTAATGTAAGAAGTGGTTTGCAGGCGAAGTTGACCACTTTTTTGTTTCGTAAAGGTAAATTTCCATCACCATTATACTTTCGTGCACATAGATTGTGACGCGGTAAGAACAATTTTTTTGAAATTTTGTGATTACGAGTATTATGTCTTAAAGTGCCCCCCTTCCACCGTAATAGCAAGGCTATAGTTAGTTGTTACTGAACTCCGTTATCATCTATTTTATAGGCGATACCAGTAATTCTGCAAGGTCAAGACGTCGTCGCCATGGCTCGCACGGGGTCCGGAAAAACGGCCGCCTTTCTCCTTCCTTTATTCGAACGCCTGAAGGCGCATTCAGCCGTGACCGGCGCAAGGGCTCTCATTATTGCACCTACGCGAGAGTTGGCTGTGCAGACTCATCGCTTTTGCAAAGATCTAGGAAAGTTTACTGATCTACAAAGTGTAGTTATTCTTGGAGGCGACGCACTTGAAGATCAATTTGCGGCAATGCATGAAAATCCTGATATTATCATTGGTACGCCGGGCCGATTACTGCATCTCATTATGGAGATGAACCTTAAGCTGAAAACAGTTGAATATGTTGTATTTGACGAGGCTGACAGGTAAGTCTACTTCGTGCAATGACTCAAACATTGCGTATTATATGCGGAACGAAGAAGTCTCTGCTTTTAGTATCGTTTGAGAACGATATTTTTAGTTACTGTTGAAGTAGGCTATATATTCGTGTGCATGCTTGAGGAGAATATATGTTCGTACAGATATTTTGTTTGCTCATGTATGCTCTAATGAATCTAATAGATACTAATGAATATTTTATGAAGGTTATTCGAGATGGGATTTCAAGAACAAATGACAGAAACCCTGAACCGGCTTCCCGACGTTCGCCAGACAGTACTCTTTTCGGCAACTTTACCCCGACTTTTAGTCGATTTCGCCAGGGCTGGTCTCAAGGATCCGACTTTAATCCGCCTTAATACCGACTCCAAGCTGCCAGATACACTTAAAACGGTCTTCTGGGTGATGCGAGATGAGGATAAATACCCCGCAGTCATCCATCTCGTTAGGACACTCTTGGAAAATAAACAACTAACCGTTGTCTTTGTGCCTACCAAGCATCATGTTGAGTACCTAAAGGAGGTGCGTTACGTCCACGCTCGATATATTTCCTTTAAAAAGTCGTTGATGAAATGGCCTGTCCTTCCGTCTTTAAAACAGGATTCCAAAACTATTTTAAACGTTATGCGGGGATTTTCGATAATTTCAGATTTTCGAGAAAGCAGGTATACCGTGTAGTTGCGTGTATAGTTCGTTGGATCAGCAGGCACGTAAAATAGCTGTAGCCAGCTTCAAGTCAAAGATAGTTCGCATCATGCTTGTGACCGATGTAGCGGCTCGAGGAATTGATATTCCGTTACTGGACCACGTCATTAACTTCAGTTTTCCAGCAAAACCAAAGCTGTTTGTTCATCGTGTAGGTCGAGTTGCACGGGCCGGCCGGTTTGGAACGGCGTTCAGTTTCGTGAGTCCTGATGAGGCAGCGTATCTTCAAGATCTGCATCTCTTCCTCGATACCCCACTTAAATTTAGTGACGATAACATGACTGAGGTTAGCTTCATAGAGTCCGCTGTGCGTTTAGCTATTATCTATAACCGCAATGATTCAGTAACGGCGAATATTGTTTATAGGTTTTAGTCTCAACAGTAAAAGCACTAACTTTCAATTAAGATAAAATTTTATTGAATTTTTTTCGAGAATGACATGAGGTCAAGAGGACCAGTAAGAATCCAGTTTATTTCTTCTTATTTGAAGGATGAATCAGGTGTGACTGGTTCAGTGCCTGAGCTTGTTTTTGATGAAGAGCGTTCGTTTCTCGATAGTCTGCATAAGACAAGCGTCGAACTGATGAACATGAAACGGGTATGCTCTAATGCATTGCAGCAATACAGGAAGTCACGTCCGACCGCGTCTGCGGAGTCCAATAAACGCATGAAATCCCTTCTCAAAGAAACGGTATGGTATAGTCCACTATTTGGGTTAAACAATAAGCCTAGAGAGACAAGCAGGTCTGTCACCTAAAATCGATTTTAATGGATACGCTTGTACGATAGAAATTAAGAATAAAATTATTTGCGTATTATACATGGTATTAAACCTACTGTATTCTTGGGTTAGCTTCCCTTGCATCCGATTTTCAGGAAGGACTTAATCGATTCTGCTCGAGAAAGTATGATTGAAGCCTGTAAGAAGTTCAAACCATCGGCAACGATTTTCGAAATTGGCAACACGGGGAAAACAGACGCTGCGACAATCATGAAGAAAAAACGTCAGACCCATGATACTCTTATCGAGAAAATGTGTGTTGAAAATGATCTTCTATCAGTGCTTTTCCTTTGCAATCTGTAACAAGAGTAAGAATATCTGTGATTGTAACAATTCGAAGTTTTATTGAACTACTCACAAACCATCTCCCATCTATTACTGATAGGGTTTAAAATTAACTAGCGACTCTTATCGCACAGGAACTCCGACGAAAAAGAAAAGGGCTCCTATAAACTAAAATATGCTGAACCTCGACCAGTAAGTACGCTCGAAGCTGCCGATGAAGATGTGATTTCGAAAGTGTTTGCTGAAGCTACAAAACATCGATTACTGAATGTGAAGAAACGCGTTAAACCTGATAGTTTTCGCGATGAGAAATTCTACATTCCGCACGTGCCTTCAAATCACCATTTTGAAAGGGGTCTCGGCCTTGACAAGAATTTCAGTCGCGAAATACAATCTGAGGTGCTGGATTTACTTGGTGAAGACGTTGATGATATTCGTAAGAACAAAAGACAGATGAAGTGGGATCGGAAGAAGAAGCGCTTCGTGCTCGACGATGATGGAAGTGATCCCAAAAACAGGAAGATTCGAACAGAATCGGGCGTTTTAGTGCCAGCTTCGTACAAAAAAGACCTGTATAAGCAGTGGAAACAAAAGAACAATATTGACTATGGCGCCACTTATAATAGCGACGAGGAGCAGGAAGGTGATATGTTTGGAAAGCAGAAGCTTTTCCGCAGAGAGTTGGGCGTCAACCAACGCTTCCAGCCCAAGTAAGTATATAAACATTGCTAACAGCTTGTGTGGAAATCATGGAAAAAAAACGCGATCCTAATTTATAAGGAATAATATATATAAATTAGTTTGCAATGAATAGGAAGCAATGATTGAAACATGTGAAGATACTGTACCCTATCGGAGGTCGGAAGCTCCCGAAGCGCCTGTTTAATACAAGAAACAGATACATTTAGGCAGCCACAATAATTTTTCACTGTGCAAATTGACATCAATCTACTAGCATAGTAGTTCGAAAAGTAACTTGCATAAAACTTATATAGTTTACGTATCCGTGTGTTATTCTTATAATATATAAACTGGAAAGGGCAATAATTACGCTGCACCGCGTTTCAGGCTGCGACGTGTGACAATAGACGAGAAAACTGGTAAACCTGTAAAAAGCGAACTGAAACGACCAGAAGTAATTCTGAAGGAACTTAAAAGAAAGAAAAAGATTAAGTTTCAACAAAAAATGGCTAAAAAGAACAGGGAACAAGGAACGAGACGGAAAAAGTTCAAAAGATGAATTGCATTTCTGCAGCATCAATTTGTCATATCAAGTAATCTTAAAAATAAATATAGTGACTAATTCGTTCCACATCGAAAACAGTTGCATATTAAATTTTTAGAAATTTTAGAAATAAATTTTTTTGTTTGCCGTAAATACGATCGTTGTTCTAAAAAATCACCCCAAAGTACTCTGTATAAAGGTTTTAGGACTTTAGGTTTTTTAAAGGACTTAGGTTTTAGGTTTCATATCATAAGTTGTCATCAAAGACAGAAAGCTACACGCACTTTTCCAATGCGACTCCTACTTACAAAAAATACAGTTAGCAAACCTAGACGTCACCGATAAATATATAAAATTATTTTTCATTTTTAAATAATAAAAGAACTGTTTTTTTGCACTAAATTGTTCGCAAATAGCTATCGTTTTATGTATATATCTTGGCGGTAGACCAACAAAAATTCACAGTTCTACGTCCGATACTGCCGTTAAATCTGTTTCAGGCGACTGGCTTCAGTCAACATGAAACGAAGTGCAGTAACGCTCGGCTTTGAACTAGGCCACCTCACGTGTCTTACACGCTACCATTGCACCATGCAGAAACTTAGCAGTACATTGCTAATCGTCAAGCCTCAGATCACTGCATAATGTTAGAAACACAGAGCACTAAAAGAAAAAAATGACCCAGTTGTATCGTTCCTTCAAACCCCATGCGGTACAATTTATTATTACGTCGTCACTTGCTGTTTGTGTTGGCTGTGTCTGTATGTAAAGCGATGTCCTCCTATCGCTATAAAGTTTGTTTTTGGTGTATATGTTTTGTTTGTATATACATTTTTAAAAAATATTTGTAACCGGCACCAGCCTCGTTCATGCGAGTGCATCACTAATAAGAATCAAACTAGTCTTTATTGTTTTCACGCCGATATCATGATTGCGCCAAACAAAATTTATTCACCTTGTTTCCACAACTAAATTTATCGCCAACGACTAAATTTATATTGCTACGTGCGACGAGTTTGGTGCGCTCCATTCTCAATTAGGGTGCTTCTCAACGATCATGGCGTGTCCCTGTAACAAACAAAAATCAGTGTTCCAAATCAGTATGGCTGCTGCGTCTTCCATGGAACTACTGAGCAGCGGTTTGGAGCAACTTTTCAAGTTATGCCGTACAGAAATAGTAGAGGAAAAAGACATATACAATAATAATAATACGAAAGATTATACATTTGGGAAGGGTCTAAAGCTTGACTAAAAAAGGTTTTGTTACTGTTTTGAAACTTCTAATAAACATACGTGTCCACCAGCTGCGCAGGCCGCTAAAACAGCAAACTGTCCGCCTTCTTTCTCCAATCGGTTCGCGCACGTTGCAACGAGGCGAATACCCGTGGCCCCGAATGGATGTCCAATCGAAAGTGAACCGCCCCATGTGTTAATCTTTTCCATCGGAATAGCTCCGAATGGAACCTTTCGTTTCATATGTTCCTTTGCGAAGTAGTCGCTCTCCATCGCACGAAGATTGGCGAGCACCTGCCCAGCGAACGCTTCGTGGATTTCGAAAACCGAGATGTCTTTAACTTTTAAACCATTGCGTTCGAGAAGAACGGGAATACTGTAGGCAGGACCAAGCAGCAGCTGGTCCTTGGGGTCCTGGGCGACGTAGATAAAATCACGTAGGTATGCCTTTGGCTTGAAACCCATAGCTTTGGCTTTTTCTTCAGCCATGATGAGACAGGCGGAGCCTCCGTCGGTAAGGAATGATGCATTGGCTGCTGTTACGGTCCCATAGGGTTTGATAAACGCCGGTTTTAGTTTCGCTACTTGCTCAGGGGTTGGCACCCGAATGCCATTGTCACGGCTGATAGGTTCCTGTTCTTTGGGCAGAATCACTGGCTCGATATCCCTTAACAGGCCCTCTTTGGTCGCCTTGTCTGCGAGTGTATGTGAGCGTATAGCAAACATGTCCTGATCTGCACGCGACACTCCGAAAGCGGCAGCTAAACGATCACCCGAGTGACCCATTACCTCGCCTGATGTGAACTCAGCAACTGCCGGGAGTTCGGGAGCGAGCATGTTCGGTCGAAATCTCGAGGCTAAGCTCAGTTTCTTCATCGGCGTTTTTGCCTTATTTAGGCCGATCATGAGCTTACGCAACTTGCGCGAAAAACGGATTGGTACATCGGACAGGAACTCGACCCCACCGGCCATTGCGACATCAACCGCGCCGAGTGCGATGTGACCCATAGCGGTTGTGATCGCCTGATTTGCCGAGATGCAGGCCATTGTCACGGTGTGGCATGGTGTGCGATCAGAGAAACCACCTGGCAACCGAAACATTCGCCAACAGTTTCAACTATTATAGAAAAACCTTAACCTTTAGATCAACGTATATTTGGTATTTAATTGCGACCAGAATAAGGATACATACAAGAGCTATTGCAAAATGATATAAATAACCAAGACCATACCAACAAAATGAAATACGTTATGTTCCTTATGATGAAACAACTACAACATCTCTTATCAGTTCAGTTCGCATTTCCTCAACTATTCGCAATAAAAGGCAGCCATCGAACGGATCAGACTGTTACCACAAAGCGCTGCTTCTCGCGCCACATTGCAGGTTTTAGGTTCGGCGATAACGGATCCCGAAACAATGTACTGAATTTCTTCCTTGGGAATTCCGGTGCGCCTGAGCACCGCCTGGAAAGCCATACGTTGAAGATCATGTGGCATCAGGTCATTGTAGTTCGTGTTTGATTGAAGGAACGGCGTACGGGCAGCTTCGACGAGTACAATGTTCCTCGGGCTTTTGGCAGGGCCGTTAACTGCAAAATTAATTTAGCTCTATTATAGCTCATATACCATGATAGACAATTAAATCCAGTTGTTATTACCATGGATAGCTAGGTGAGCGAAGTGTATTCGTCCAGATGCTAGTATATGGCACTACTCGTCACATGTGATAATGCGACGACGGCACCGTGTCGTAACCTTCGTAGCTTTACTCGAAGTTTTAAATTCAAGTCGTTCAGAAACAGATATCGTGCACCCGCCGAAAAATAAATGGAGAAATTGAGCATATCGGTAAATCCATAAACATATTTAACAGTGGGATTGGATATTTATAAAATTAAGTATTAACCTTTAAGGACTAACTTTAAAAACGCTATACCAATAATTCATAGATATATAATACTGAAATTAAAAATTCAAAATAGGTTCCAAGATGCCATATGCTCCTGGAATTCACATTTAACTGAATATAGTGAAAAAACGTTAATTCGATTATATTTTGAGATGGAAACATCACGATCACTGTCATCGGTCTATATAACAAGCAATTCCGTAGAAAACATCACACAAACCCATAGTGACCATGCTGTCGGAAAACTGAGATAAAAATGTGGCTTCATTTAAAAGGTGACAAAAATGGAACAGATATTATGCTAGCAACCTAGTTGTAACCGATAGATATTAGCCTAAGGTCCAGAGACCAAGGTTAAGGCATCTGTTGTACGATAAAAAAACTAAGTCCATAGTCACAAGTCACGTTACATTACATCAGGGTAGAATCTGTCATGATTAAAACTATTTCCGTAAAATCTCGTTAGCCTGGCAGCACTGTGCCTAAAGACCTGATGCTCATCAGACGCACTAAGTATCCGCACAAATTAATTGCAGTGCTTCCCACTTATCCTCAATACACCACCGAATTACACCATCGAATTTCCACAAACAGCTTTAGTCTACTTTTTAGTCGCAGGGAGTTTTACTACAGCTATGCGTTTGCCTTTTCATCAAAATTGTTAGTAGATCTGTTTATATTTCTACAGAATAATTTTTTGTCCTAGCAGAGAAGAGGCCCGCTTAAAGGCCAACCTAAATCGCCGCTATCAGCAACAAGTCAAGAGCCATCCCGATCGTACTGTGGAGTAGGAACGAGCAAACCATAAAGTGCATTCGCTGAGTGACATTCATGTCGATGCGCTCACACGAATGGCCCAACCCCTCTTTAATTACCCCCCATTTATCACTTCTACTGCTGAAGAAGTAAAGATTGTAACTATTACAGTTACAATAACTACTACTTTATCCATAAAGACTCTTGAGAGTAGTGGTGACAGTAATGATGGCCCCAGTCGTAGTTCGCCGAGTAACAGTCATAGACCAGCAGTAAAGCCATGCTAAGCTGCGTGCTAGTGCTGCGACGGTCACTGCCTTCACTCTAGGAAACGCCTTAGAGAGAAACTGTCCCTTATTGTTCCCTCCTGGAAATACTGGCTGCGTTTTTCCTGACCCGTAATCTCAACGTCTTGGGCCCTCGAAAATACCGTGACAGATGCGCCGACATCCCGCCGGCTACCTGTTGATAACGCTTTCTATTACTGAACTCGAATAGGCTCTGACTGAAACTGACTGCCGTAACAGGAAGATAAACTTATTCGAGAATAAAATAAAATAGGATATGTAGCTTATGTATTGAGCATCTGTCTCTCTTCGTCTCATAACTAGATCGTTTGACCTGAAAGATCAAAATGCCTGGGGCACGTCGGAGAACATCTATCCAACAATAACGGTAAAATTAATGGTATTTCTTTAATTTGGTGTCGATGTATATTACGTAATGATTTATTTGCTGCCATATTTCTATAAGGAGAGGCAAGCTAAAGTGCCAATATACGAAAATTCCGAATATGCAGAGCATAAACATTGTTGCATTCTCGCAAAAAATTGATCATGATGCTACATCGATATACGACATAACGAACATGATTCATTACACACGACAAATAGACAACTCATTGGCATTATACTTACGTGTCTTGTAGCTCTGATTCCGTTGCTGCACGCGGGTGGCGGCTGTGGAAATAAAATTATAAATTACCACGAAGCAAAAAGCTCACAAGAATATAATGACTCATAATAATAACTCAGCAAAGACATGTCGACAGGAACGCTCACGAGTCTTCTTTTACATATATATCTATTAAATCTACTTTAGATTTTAGAATGAAGTTAATGTACTCAAAAGACAGCTGGAAAATTGCCACATGAAAAATAAACTGAAATTTATAATAATAACATAGGTGACGAGGGATACATTCGGCTACATGTACTTATGTTGGGATCCTTTTGATGGTCAGAAACTATTATACACCTAAAGTTACTACACACAGTTATACCGCCGACACAAGTTAGCTATCGGGTAGAAGAAAACTAACCGATAGTTCATGGAAACATCAATGTTGGTATACGTAGCAGGATTGAAATATAAATTTTTATTTGTGCAATCTGTCATATCATATCGTGTGCTTTTGTCCCTATTAATTTTTCCCGACAAGGTATTCATCTTCAGTAAACAAGGGCACACGGCGTGGGCCAAACTAAATCTTCGTCAAAAATTGTAGTAATTAGACCAGTACAAAAAATACAGAATAATAATAATTAAAATCACGTGGCCACATCTGCCCTGAGATCGATACGCTCACGACTGCCCGTTATGAGGTCGTGACGTATATGCCCTAGATGGAGTGGTATCATCCATAGTTATTTTTCAATATGACTAGTCATGATGAGTTGACAATAACTCATTCTACAGATTGAATAAGATTGTAGTATTTTAACAAATAACTTATTCTATAGATGGAGTAGGACTGTAGTATTTTAACAAATCTACCAGTATGAAAACCCGCATTACTCTTCAAATTCTGTCAACATAATGTTAAGAATGTCGCTTTAATCAGCCTGCTATTATAGGCGCTACCTACAGAGTACAGAAGCGTTCTAGGAAGGCGTTTATTTACCTATGTACTTTGTTTTGTAAATTACGTCTGCTTATGAAGAAAGCAGTCTTTTGAGCAAAGAAACTGCGACAAAAAATAACGGTTGAGTGCAACTCCTTATTGTGGTATAAACCCACAACATACTGTTTATTTCCGTCAGAACAAAATAGTCATGTTCTTATTGGTAATAGAAGAATCAGCAAATCGACATGTGATAATATTTAGATTGAACAACAATCAAGTCGTTTCTTGATTGAATTCTTCTATGTATGATCTAATACCCTGATTGTTGTATACGCGTTTGTTGTTGAAATACTACACTACAGTACTTTTAAATATAAATAAAAAAACAAGCAATTTGACAAATTTACTGGTTAATTAGTACTGACATATATAGCACATCATCCTCATATCAGTCTACGACGCGCATCTTTACTTAATACTTACACGTGTTGCATTTTTTTCGATGAAGCGGAAAGATTTAACGGGATTTACCCATTAAAGTTGGTACATCAAAAGTAAAATATTTGTCGGTCAAAGCAAGGTAAGCTCATTATTACGGCGCATTATCATTCTGTAATTGCGTTGGATGTACGATTCTAAACGAAATCATGTATGGTACCTTAAATCAGATATTACGAATTTGCTGCGTTGTTTAGGTAAGCTAAACAAACCGTTCAGATGAAAAACACCTCATATGCTCGAACCATGCTAACGCTATGACGAGCTCCCATATGTTTTTCGTTTCGTAATTACTCGCGCAACCTGCCAGCACAACGCTTGATAGGACTTCAGCGTCATCATCGGTACAGGCATAATCAAATCGTCTGTCATCAAAATCCTTGGTAGCAGTGGAGCGGTGTAAACGCTTACTATTTTTTTGCCGCAGCTGCTGCTGTTGTGGCCGCCACAATCAACAGCTCAGCTACAAGATGACTAGTCGCCAGAATGTGTTATGCAGGTCAATCGTGTGTGCTCTGCTAACTGAGAAAATTGACACTTGATCAGCGAAGAACTGGGAGTCAATGAGAATTTTCCCGTCAGATTAAAGATTAACCACAAACGAAACCTGTGACACCAATCTTATTAATCGATCGAAATGATAAAAGTCGTTGATTCACGTGCTGATGGATGGATGGAAATGAACGGAATATAAGTATATTAGGCGACAAGTCGGGTAAAAATCAGTAAGATACTTCCACGTCCATATCACGCATAGATAGAGTTCTTTAACCATAACTTATGTGAGGGTCGCAATGCAATACGATCATGATTTTAATGATGTCACATTGGTTATACTACGTTACTCTTTAATTGGCTAATTCGTTGGTTAAACCGAAAGGATGCTACCTTAGTTGTTTTATGAAGAACGTTTAATAGTGTAATCAGTTGAACAATACAAACTACTACAAAAGGGTCTTTTTCACAAATGCAAGGAACTAAAATGTTGACACAAACAAAGCATGATGGGCAATAGAATCTTATAAAATAATTACCAGTGATGTAGGTGATACCGACTTGGATAGATTCACGGAAACCAAAGTGAAATTATCTAGGCTGGTTGATCTATCTCTCTGCTATTATAACAAGTCTTGGTTAGCTGAACGAGGTCCCCCTTAACACAAACAGAAAAAAAAACTTTGCCAAGTAGATATTCGAGAACCCTGCATTGCATTCGCATTCGATTTAAAAACTAACGATTTTTTGACCCTCAAGAATAGCTAATTCAGATTTTCTGGGTACCCTATTGTAACAGCATAATTGAACAAATTAGGTGTGCTGTGAGAGGCACCTACTAGATTTTAGCATAGAAGCTATTTTCACATATGAAATCAATTTCGTCATCGGTATACTTTATAATAATTTTTCAAAGGTCCAAAATTATTATAGCGGCTGCTCCCGTGAGCTTTAACAGATCATGATATAAATCATATGGATCAGAAGCAAATTATCCGGAGGCCTATCTAATATAATGATCAGAACGTAATATGACAAAAATATCTATTAGATTTATCATTGCAACGAGGAGAAGAACTGTGGCTACCTATAAAGTACTACCAACTATGTGAAATTGTCGAAATATTATAATTAACATTATAATTAGTTTCTAGCTTTGAGACAATTGAGATCAACGAATGGTGTTTTCTTTATAAATTAGAAGATTTTCGTCCCTATTAAATGCGCGGTGAACCAGCGTCTGGCTAGTAACAATAAATATGTCGATATTAGAAATAAAATTTCCGCGTGCAGTAAATGTACCATGACATGACAGAGCATGGATTACACTGCTACACGTATCACAATTATCATATAATTTTGGATTTTCCTAATTTTTCTGGGTTTTTCTGGTTATCCGCGTACGCAATTTTTATTATATGCCGACACTGAAAGCAGATTCAGAAGACCAGTCACCTCCCCGGCAGAAAACAGTTGATATGCTGTTAAACACCAATATACTCACCACAGACTGCGAAAGTGACGTTGCTTCCAATTGACACTAAATTCCGCAAGCTAGATCGCAAGTACCTTGTACATGTTTAAAAGTTTTGAGAAATTTCTTCTCGAATAATAAGAATCTCAAAGAACTGATCAGGCAGGACATGCTAATCGTGTAACGCATTAGTAGACGTCTTACGCGAGCCACCAAGTTCGTAGTGACTGCGAAATATACACCAAAGTCACTAACTGTGGCCAAACACCGTAGAGTGTATATTTTCACTCAAAACTTGGTGTATTACTTGAATATATGATTACTAGATTTAACTAAACGTCGAGAAACTTACCAATTCGGACGCTAAGCGTCCTAAAATTGCCAGTTAAACGAGCCGGGAGGACGGACATGCTTGCTTCACAGGACCTTTTTGGCGACTAGAAAAAACGACCAAGTTACAGGAAAACGGTGATTTAGCAAGTTTCAAATAATGCTCGACTTTTGTATGTATCATGGTCGTGGCCTCCAAATAGTTGATATTTTAATGAAACTACATGCATCCTGACTTAATTTTTGTTATATAAATTATTAACAGGTCACGAAACTCGGTATGTATATACATTTTTTTTTCTAGCTTGTTGTTTTTTATAGCTGAATTTGTAAAGCTTGGTCATGTTTAGGACAGAAAAGTATGATCGTCGAAATCTACCTAGATTACTTTACAAAAACATTTGGAAAATGCTCAAGTCACTGCTGCCTGTTGGTCGAGTTTTCCGATCGCCCCATTAGAGTATTCGCCGAAGGTCTCGGCGGCAGAAGGCAGGGGTGGTGTTACCTGCTGAAGTCACTTTTTACAGGTCTCAGTGCGTTGACAGAGGCTTCACAAGTTCATTTTTCCGCTTTCTTCAACCCATGGGGTAGGTTGAAGACCCTACGGGTGAAATCTCAGTTTGAAGTTAGCTGTTGACCCCCGTGAACACCACGCTGATAACTTGGTGACGGTATCCAATGACCCCGTGTGTTGGCAGCCACTTGATTTGAAAGCTCGACGTTTGAAGTAGCGAAGTCTCACCTGCTAAATTGTTGTAAGCATCCAGTTTCCGGATAAACCAGGCCATGAAATTGAGCCATGCGGTTAAAAGCGCGAGCTTAAATGAAATCAGACTGGCTACTTAGGCGGTACAATATGCAAATGCGGCCCGTTTGTGGCCCCCTCAAGCTTAAAAGTTTGAACGTTAATTCGATGAGGCAACGATTCTTTTAGTTTCTTCTGTAACCTTATACCTGATTTTACCAGTTATCGCTCGATTTTTTTCAACGTGTCTTATTTGTCTATTCTGGTACATACTAACGAGTACTGGCAAACAAGTATGTTGAGCGGTACGATGTATGTGCTCCTTGACCTTCTGAGTGCTCACTTAGCTTTTATCTCATATACCATATATTTTTTATAATGTGCAAATGATAAGCTAACCGAAAATACTTTTTTTTTGTTTATTAGTTGTGTATACGTGGTTTTCGCTTTCTCTATGCTAATTTTTTAATTACAATTTTCAGCAGGATGTCTCGCATGTTGTTCAGCGGGGTCCCGTGTCGGATCGCGCAAGCTCTCGCTCGAGAGTTTCACATTTCTAGAGGTGAGTACGAATATGTGGTACAAGCAGGACATGTTTTGCTTATGAATGAGTCTAAGGAAATGCAGGTTTTGTATGCTGCACCTACATTTTAACAAACTGAATTCATCGCTCATATACTGTTCGATAGAAAATGATACTCCCTAAAAGGCAGTTCTGAAGCCTACACACCCATAAAAACTCGTTTATATCACTTTTCTGTCACTGGCCTAAAAATCGAATTTAATATGCTATACCTAGCATTAATTATATAAATTACATGTTATTCAGAATTTCACCTTATTGACGCATTTCGTATTTACATATTTCAATGAATATTTAGTAATAAACTTAAAATTAACTTTGTTACAATTTATTGTGGCTAACCAACGCATGTTTATCATACTTTATCACATTATTTCGTGCCGCGTTTCTTCTCACATTATTCGTGCCCAAATGCTCCACATGTGAGTTACAGGTTACGTCACCACATTCTTAAAATTCTACCACATTCTAGCTCTTTCACAGAACTCATCTCCTGTATCTCCTAATTTGTGTATCAGTATGGTCAGTACTTAACCGTTAAATAATTCGTTGTTTGCGACATGCATTGCATTGACGCGGAATACAAACATACATGTTCAACCAAGTGAACACACAAAACCTTAGGTTGTCAGCTCTATCGGCCCACTTACCGATCGCTTTTTCGGCCGGTGAATTTTATTTCGTCATTGAAAATTAAACACTTAATTGACAAACAAAATTAACAACAACGACAACAAACTTCATTTTTAGTGGCCCCTTTATTGTCCGTAATTTATGAACGTGCCGGGGTTTCAACTTTGTTCTTTAGGTCTGAACAAACACCTCACAACGGAGGTAAAGAATGGCGTTGCCGTGGTCAAGATCGACACACCAGGTCAGCGTGTTAATGTTCTGTCAAAGGAGCTCATGACCGAAGTTACCGAAACGATGAACAATATTCACACGAACCCTAACGTATCTTCGGTTGTTCTAATCAGCGGTAAGAAAGGTTGTTTCATCGCTGGCGCCGATATAACGTAAGTCTTCGTTAATAAGTTTACTGTAACGAATGAAAATTACCATTAGGTTGTTTCCGAAAGATTTTAAAATGGCTAACAAATTCCGCGTGAGAAGTTGCTAAACGCAGCTCTAAAATCAATTTTATCCTGTAGCTAAGCGCTAGATCATATACAAAGTAAACATGATGCCCGTGGCGTACCTATTGATTTTGAGCTCGTTTAACTATGAAACGTCCTTATCGAATTTACTTTGCAGATCGATGACGGGTAAATACTGCCATTTTGGAGGTTATTTACGTATAAAGGGTGCAGAGTTAAATTATGCTGGAGGTTAACTAAAAAGCAATGCGTTCATATCTGTTATAGTACTAGCTACTAAAGCAGCTGAAACTTCGGGACTTCGATTCCGTTGATTGTATTGAGAAAGAGGTTCAGACAAAACGTTTTATTCAAATTAATTATTTTATCCATTTCAGGATGTTGGAACAGTGCCGAAGTGTAGATGAGGCCAAGAACCTTGTTAAAGATGGGCACAAGGTACTTCAGGCGATCGAGGACTTCCCAAAACCGATAGTGGCAGCTATCATGGGTTCGTGCTTGGGTGGCGGCCTAGAGACTGCGCTCGCTTGTCGTTATCGTATCGCTGTAGAAGAGCCAAAAACTACTTTGGGGTTGCCCGAGGTTATGCTCGGCGTGCTTCCTGGGGGCGGTGGAACTCAGCGCTTGCCTAAGCTAATTCAGCTCCCGACAGCACTCGACATGATGCTGACTGGAAAGAGTCTCCACGCCAAGAAAGCGAAGAAGGTGGGTCTGATCGACGCTATTGTCAAGCCACTCGGACCAGGACTTAAATCGGCAGATGAGCGGACGCTTGAATACCTTGAAGAAGTGGCATGTCAGGCCGCCCGGGACCTTGCAACGGGTGAACTCAAGATTAATCGAGCGCGCCCACTGACCGAACGAATTCTTGGATATTCTCTGCAAATCAAGTATGTTCGTGACATGATCTTCGACAAGGCACGAGGTCAGGTCATGAAACTTACCAACGGATTGTATCCTGCTCCTTTGAAAATTCTTGATGCAGTCCGTGCCGGTCTGGAAAAAAGTAAAGCGGAAGGGTTTGAAATTGAGGCACAAAACTTCGCCGAACTCTGCATGACAAAAGAAAGCAAGGGTCTTATGGGACTTTATCACGGACAGGTACACTGCAAGAAGAATGCCTTTGGAAAGCCCGAACGCCGAACGGAGTAAGTGCATGTTCTCCAGTTTACAATTTTTTAAACCTAAATAAACATTGTAGAAACCCACATGCCTAAATATGTAGGTTGTGAACATCCGCGAACACGGTATATAAAACTTACGGCAAAAAATATGATTTCTTTCCGCAGGAACATAGCGGTTCTGGGTGCTGGTCTTATGGGAGCTGGGATCTGCCAGGTCTCGCTTAAGGACTTCAACAGAGTTGTAATGAAAGATGCTTTCTCTAAAGGGCTGGTCCGTGGTCAAAACCAGATTGATGGCAACCTAAATAAGGACCTGAAAAAAAAAAAGATCGACGCTTTTCAAAAGGATAGGCTCATGTCCACTCTTTTGCCTACGCTTGACTATTCTTGGCTGAGAGATGCCGATATGATCATTGAAGCTGTTTTCGAAGACATTCACGTAGGTATCTACTGCTCTGATGAAGTTGATTTTCTTTATTTTCCTGATGCCATGGATACTTAATACATATGTATACTACCATAGTTAATCAAGTGTCTTACCTTACCAATAGCGTGATTTTGATATTTTTAGGAGTGCTTGGTATTTCAGGAAGACTGCGTTTTTGGCTCCATAAGGTTTCCATTTTTCAAACTGGCAACTATTTCTTTTATACCAAAAGACCTTTCAAAATCTACCGAAACAGAAAAAAGTAACGTTATGAGATTGCAGTTTTTGCGATATAACGCAAAAATCCATTGCCTAAATTTGTTATTTCAGGTCAAGCACAAGGTTGTGAAAGAGGTCGAAGCCGTCATTCCTGAGCACTGTGTGTTTGCGTCAAATACGTCGGCTCTACCCATCGCCAAAATCGCTGAGGTGTCAAAGCGTCCTGAGAAGATCATTGGCATGCATTATTTCTCGCCAGTAGAAAAGATGCAGCTACTGGAAGTTATAACCACAGATAAAACGTCGAAGGATACGGCTGCTACCGCCGTCGACGTTGGGCTGCGTCAAGGCAAGGTCGTCATCGTTGTTAAGGACGGCCCTGGTTTTTACACAACACGCATTCTCGCACCGATGATGTCAGAGGCTATGGTTCTCCTCATGGAAGGCTGCCAAGTTAAGGAGCTTGACAAACTCTGCAAGGCGTTCGGATTCCCCGTAGGCGCGGCCACCCTACTCGATGAGGTATATTATAATATCAATGTGATAACCAGATACTTTTTTTCTTTTTTTTTTTTATTTATCATCTCTGCACATTTTTATGCAGAAAGAAAAGGCTTATATATATATATATAAAGGCTTCTTTCTGACAAAAATATATGTGTGAAGTAGTTTAAGGTACGGAGACACCTTTATTTGCTTTCTAATTTATTCGTAGGTGGGTATTGATGTGGGAGCCCACATCGCCGAATACCTAGGAGGAGTATTTGGTGACCGCCTTACGGGCGGAGCAAATCCGGCAGTTATGAAAGAGATGGTAAACCAGAACTTCCTCGGTCGCAAATCAGGCAAAGGCTGCTATATCTATACGCCTGGCAGGAAAGATCGCGCGGTCAACCCCGGGGTTGAGACCATCCAGCGCAAATACGCGAAGCCAAAAAGCATGGAGAACACCACGGAGCAAGTGCAGTTTCGTCTGGCTACTCGCTTTATGAACGAGGCCGTCATGTGTCTGCAAGAAGGCATTTTGGCCAACCCTGTCGAAGGTGACATTGGCGCAGTATTTGGTCTGGGTTTCCCGCCCAACCGTGGAGGACCATTCCAGTTTATCGACACATACGGCGCTGACAAAATCGTCAACTGGATGAGACAATTCCAGGAGAAGGTGCATCCAAAGACGTTCGAGCCTTGCCAACTTCTGCTTGACCACGCCAACGACCCGCTAAAGAAATTCCATGCGCGCAACAAGTAGGATGCTTGACAAGAGACTCAAAAGGGTTATTTCTGGGCTGTGTAGCCACTGAGAGGCTGTCAGATGTACCTGTGAATAAGGCAACAGACAGTATACAATTTGATAGGAACTGTCTATAACTATGTGACCACTCTAAGAAACACTTCAAAGGTCCAAGGTTCATCCAGGATATAGTTACATTACAAAACCCTCTTTACGTCATTGTACAGGTGCCTAATAATCTGTAATAGTTTGTTTTAATCGTTATGGTTATTCCTATAGAATATATTTTTCGGAGACAGCAATTCAAGCGAAATTCAAGCAGAAGTGTATAATCCTTTGCGTCTTGAGTACGCATCGGTGAACCACAGAAGAACAAATACTTTTGAATAATTCAAAATTGTATTTTTAAGAAAATCACGATTTTCAACGAAGCATAAGAATTTCGCAGACCTCGTTGGCAGCAGCTAGGTCGGTATGTGGCGCAACAGAATAAAATTATTGGCTTAACTAATTTCACGTTACGTGTAACTGGCACCGCCGTGGATAAAATGTCATGTAATGTATGTGCAAAGGACAGTAATGTGCTCCATAAGAATATTTTTAGTATAAAATGAGCATCACGTCTTGCTATGGTTTTATTATTGATAGCAATAATAATGACGTAATTGATGAATGATATGAAAACGTTGGATGATCACTATGACGTAATTGATGAATGATATGAAAACGTTGGATGATCACCGTGACTAAGCATAGAAAATTTTACCACCAGGAGTTTTCATCGAAAAAATAAAATAAAAGACGATTTTCTAAAGAAAAAAAAGAACATCACAAAGACGTAAAATATGATTTAATTGGTGTTTACTTGTTAGAAAGTACTACCCATAAAATTCCAGGGGTATTAACATTCTATGAACAAACGATTTTATGAGAATCATCTGTTCTGTAATATAACAAGGTCGGAGTTGTTTGGAAATATCGTCGATAGCAGTGGAACCGGATGATGTTCATCAGCGTTAATTGTTTATTCTTTCGTTGCTTTGTGCTCTTTATTTCCCATTTTGCCTTGAACCGCTGCGCCCGAATCCAAATCAACTTGACGTACGCAACAATTCTATACTACGGAAATTTTTTATGAACAGAATTACTTTAGTAACAAGTAAACTGAGATAGCATATACGAGGAGCGTGGTGACAACTTGAATCATACCGACCCTTTATTGGTGTAAATAACATATATAACAGCAAAAACTTGATCCATTTTACTGCGTATGTACACCCACCAGCAGGAATAAATTTCGTTTTCCTTGTAGTAGGACGCTCTTAGTTACTTTTTGAAAAGGCATCCGCAGGGATCGCAGAGACAAAGAAATTTTACGCGCCTCATTGATATAGTCCCAATACTAACCCGATACAGTTTAGGCAGAAAATGACTCGAAGAGAGCCGCTTGTCATTGCCGCAAGTCCATTTTGTTGTTGTTTTAAACCTATCCTAATTACTTTGGCTTTTCCACATCGTCAAATTGTTGTCTTTATTATTCAAGATCTTCTGGGCGCACCGGTTTCGTGAGCGGAATTACTGATTGCCGATTCACGTCCTTACTGAGCGCTTTCCGCATGTCAAAACCGTCTTCGTCTGGATTTGAACCGGATGAAGAATAGTACCCTATTACTCTTCGATAGATAATATAACCAAGTCGTTTATACATGTCAATGGCGATCGTATTCGATTGTCGTACGAACAGGTCGACAAAGTAGCATTCCTTGTGCTCGGAAATCTCTTCAAGGATGTCCATTAGCTTATTCGCCAACCCCAGACGGCGATACTCAGGAGCCACTGCAAGAACAGCCGACGACGAATATAACACCTTGTAAATATAATAAACATCGTCTATATAATAGAAAGCATATGGGCAAATCGATTTGAATAATCGCAATAGAAATCATTAGACAGAAAACCAAACTGAGTTTTGAAACGCAATAGGTGCTAAAGGAATTGCTCATTAGGTCATCTCGTTGATATATGCAAAGCATTCTCTGGCCTGATATGATTGAACAAGCTCGTAAATGATACCATTTGAATCTTCTGGATAGTACATTGTTTTCGCCCACAAACCTGAAGCGTTTCAAGTTGGAGCTACATTAACAATAAACACGTTTTTTATAGTTCTAATCTAGCAGTAATAAAAACTAAATTTCTCCAAACGCTTAGCATTTACCACTCAACGCTGTTACGTGTCCATGCCAGTTATTCACGAAGCCTTCCGCTTTGCCCATAATATAGCCCATTAGATCGCCATTGACACTCTCAAGCGCCTGGAAGTATTCCGGCCATCTAGCAAGATAGGTCAAATAAAATGATACGCCATAGGTTTCCGTCAGAACATCTAAATTAACGTTGTTATAGGTGAGTAGGTCTCGGCAGCGAAACGGCCTCACCGTGGTCATCTTGTCTGAATTACGATTTGTCTCCGTCCTGCAAATGGAGCAACAAGAAAAGACGCTGTAAACATGAGAAACGCAAAGATATGCAGCATAGTATCTACTAAATCGACTTATTTAATGTGTTTACAGTTCAAAGTACTGAAACCTTAACGTTTTGAAAGAATACAACGAACTGCATCTCGTTGCATTATAACTTTTTTAAAATTAGGCGAAAACTCGGTGTCAGTAGTGACTAAGATTATTTGGTAAAATTTTATCCAAGTGCGTTGATGTAGACTTGACCAGTATGCATTAGCTCGGCTTCAAACTATTACATTTATTAGTATTAATGGAAAAAAAAGTTTGATGATTATACTCTGCTACTAGAAAAAGAATCATATAAGTTTATACGAAACGACACCTGATTTTTTGTCCACGACGCTTATTGCAAACCTTATATGAATTTAAAGTGATCTGCTATAAACATTTCCATCTACAATAATAGCTACAAATATTTCTACATATCTAGGTATTAAACGACTGATGTTTGCGATTAATACAACAAACCATAACATAACATACAAAACCTGTGCCAGTTAGACTACTGAAATGAGTTAAGGGAAATGTGTTATATGTCAGTGGGGTAGTTTGCGACCAAACGACGATATTTACTAGGATTTGATTTATGATTTATGATTATTACATTACGAGTTGCGTTGATAGCGTCATGTGTTTGTAGATTTCAACACTTTTTTGCTTCACTTTACAGTTGAAAAAGCAATAGCACCAGCCACGGCGTAGCGTATTATAAGACACCATTAAAGTCACATCTCATCAGAACGAGATAAGGGTTTCGAATCAATGCGCTCAAACGAAAATATAGTTGTTATCCTTAGTGCATAAGTCACCTTAGCAACAATTGTGGAGATAAGTTGTAGCTTTACGAATATGCTCCGGTGTGGGTACAAAATCATAAAATCAATCACGCAAAAGTCAAAGGATTCGTTTGCACGACAGTTTGGCCCCCGGAATACGTGGATAATCCAGAACCCATACACAGGGCCAACGAGAAGAGCCAATTGAAACGAGAAACGTGCTTTCTATATTCACTTAGCGCTCCCTCTGTTGTTCTCGAACAACCGTAGGAAAAGGTCAGACCCAACGTTACTCGGAAGTGCAGCCGTCTGCGTTTAGGTCTTAACGAACATGTGAATTTCTTGCTTCTTCAGCTACTGTAGTCGTATGCGTTCTAAGTGCATAACAAGCCATTATTACACCGATATTTCGGTATGATAATCCTAGGCGTACAGAGAACATTGCGTACTGTCGTATAGGTTTAGGCCCTAAGGTGCGCCCGGAAGTAGGCTTCGCATACATACAACAACAATAACAATACACATCCCCGCCAAATGACGCCATATGACCATCAACAGCTGTGAAAAGTTCATCTCTTGTCCTGCATTCTCTCTTGATTGTGTGCCTGTACATACTGGGGATTTAAGATCGCGTCGCACCAAAGATATTAGACGAATATGTCTTACCGTATTCTGGCTCGCCGATTAACCATCGGCTCTTGCGATTTCTGTCTGCAACAGTTCCAACAAGAGCCGCTTACGTGGTACCATGCGTTGAAGGCGAGATAGAGAGGCAATGTGAGTAATGTAATGCTAGTATTATTACATAATGCCTTATTTGGAAAGTTCGTTTTTAACATGAAAGGTATCACCTTCTTTACGGTTCATTCGGTTCAGACACACGAAACTGTAGGCCCATATATTCGAAGCTTGGATTCGATCGATCGACCTGTGATATTATATGAGAGTAATATCATACCTAGTACTTTGCATTTGGTTTGGCTATTCAGCATTGACACCAGCAAAACAAATTGCTTACAATGTTCATTCATTAGCTGGTAGGGAGCAGCCGCGGTCCGTTTCATCCAAACTGCAAAACTGTGTTACGATTTTTTATATATATCGTAACTGCTATGCTGTCGCTGTCAAATGAACTGGAGCCTTATCTCAAGCGCTTTTGCTGTCGTCGACTGATTCATTTTGCAAATTGCATTCGAGTCAATTCACTTTGTGTGACAGTAACGTCGTGCCAAGACGGATGTCAATAGTCTGTGTTGTTTTTGCCAACAGGTAAGCTTCGTCAATATCGGCAGTGACAGCCTGCTGTGGCTGTTGTGGATATGTATACGTATATCTCAGTTGTGAGCTTGTAGCAAAATTAGCCGTAACGAGAGAGTCCTCAAGAGCTTACATATATCCCGGAATTAACAGTCATGATTGTCGAGCTGTTCTAGCTAGCCAGCTAATAAACTTCGGTATAAGGTGATATTGTTCTGTAGCAAGAAAAGAAGTTTCCGTGCTCAAATAAAAAAAATCTGGAATAAATTTTTTTTGCTGAAGTGTGCTGAAATGTGCAGTTGCTCTATGAGGGTATAAAACTGTTTCATAAATAAATAATTTTACACTCTACCCGCTGACTATCTGAAAGCGATCTAGATATATATATACACTTACTGTTGCCTTTTGACTCATAGGTATGAGTCCATTCAAATAACGCATTTTCCGTTTCGAGTCAGCGAGCAAGTAAGTATTACACCGAAATGACCTTGACGTGTTGTAAGAACTTAAAATAGATTCGCATAGCCTACTGTCCAAGACGTATTCCGAGTATACTAAAGCATAAATTATCAAACTTAAGATATGACTAATATCGTCGCCATTATTGGCCATCGATATGTTTTATAGAGAGGCTAAGGCTTTAAATATATATATATATATATATATATTATACGATCAAACGCGACGCAGTGGGGGAAGTTACCTAGAATTGATTAATGGTTACGCATGATCTAAAATCGTTGTGTCAATTAAATGCAGTAAAAGCAGCTATGTTGTTACGCGTTGCGGTAGATCAGGCTACTAATCGTTTGCGGCTTGCCGTTAGAAAACGGGCAAAACTACGTCAATTCGTTTTTTTCATCGGTTATAATGCAATCCTCCGTAGCCAGAACTATGTCTCCCGTATAATATCTTGGTCTACATAACATTTCAATGTACACCACTCTCTGCTATTCCATTACTTGCTTGCTATGAAACAGCCACAGGCCAGTGATAACACACTAAGTTTTATTTGTACGACCACTCCTGACCAGCACCAAAAATCCCACCAAGGCCTTGCGCGTTGGCTATCTGCAACTTTTGCTATTTACATAGGCCATTTTAAGCGGCCGATAAAAGGCTATTCGAACCAGTGGCGGGAAAGCGACCCTAAATCTTTATGAGAAAGGGTGGATGTGAACGGATAAATCACACTGGTCTTTCTATAGCCATCTTGTAAATAAGCAGTCACTGAGCATGCAAAGCATGAATATTCTATACTGTTACATTAGCATCACTTTTGAATGATAGCTCTCGTCAGAATTCCCTCACGTAGCTCGCGTCGTGTAGGTAAACACACTGTACGCAGTACATATTTGGTGCTTAGATCGCTTGAATCTTGCTTGCGATGTACGTCACTGCAATGCGTACTTTTAGCGGGATTACAGGCTTTTAGAGATCTCTAAGGAAGTGTAGTTAAGCTGAGTCGTCGCAATTGACCTTCGCCAGATATATAAGGTGCTTGCCTTGCGTGTGTGGGGGCTTGCTTATGCAGGTGCGACTAAATTAAATAAGTTTAGTGTTGTTCCGCTAGAAGTGTCAGTACCCTACTATAAATGTTGAGTAAGTACGTCAGAGGACATTATTGAAATATCTGAGACATTTACATTACTTGAGGCTCCTTTTACATGTTAGCATAGGATATGATTAGGGTAAACTTGAGAAATTTTTTTAGCTCCGCCTAAGATGCGGACGTTCTTTCACCCTTCACCATTCTATTTTCAAACAAAATACGATGTTAGCGTTCTTTTGAGTGAGGTGTAAGTACTATGTATTAGCAAACGACATGTTTTTGCTGCCTCATGGTAGATTAACTGAATGACAATGCATTATTTCTTAAGTTGGTTCCGTTGTTACACTCTAACCAATTCAACTGCTGGCTGATAGCACGAACTATGAGCTAGCTTCGATTTGTTCAATTTGCGCTTGTGTAGCTCTCGCACCGTTTGCTGTTTGATATAAGCTGTACGTATTAGCGAATAGTGAGATTGTATTTAATATCTAGGGGGCGCTGTTGCCTCAGTTCTCGCAAAGAAAGTTATGGTGTTACATCCTTGTCATCTGTCAGGGTTGACCAAAAAACACTGCCAGATGTACGTAAATGTGATCTGTAATGTCTAATTAAATGCATATAGTGCAGTCAAAAACAATTCTTTGGGTTTTAATCTAAGTATGTATCATAGCATGGAGCATAAAAGCAATTATACAAAAGTTTTTGTTAACGTTTACCTACTTTAATCCTACAACTAATGCAGTGTCAGTTCGTGAGTATAGTCACGTGTTTGCATATGAAAGTGTAATTAATTGTTTCATTATGAAATACTTCCTAGTGTGCAAGTAATGCTAATTAACTGTTGAAATTATACTTTACGCAGAGACTGCTGCCGTTGATGTCCATTTAAATAATGGCATTGTACGCTTCGCGTGTTGCGAGGCGCCGAATACTGGTCATGGTCGGTTACAGACACATAGGATCAGAAAATCTTCCAAACTGTAAAACCAGCTATGTAGTATGGTAGAACCGGTATCTATACGCAGAGACCTTGGCCAGGTCTTTGACAACGATGAGTGACAACTCCTCCGAGAAATCAGTTAAAGTCTAAATTACAAATTTTCTATGAATGATCGCTTTATTTTGTGACTCTGAAGAAGTTCCTTCAGTATGCAAGGCTAAGGATAAATGGTAGTGGTAGAGTTCCACCTTTAAATTCAGATAGATGATAGCGATTCTCTAAACACTTAGGGGCTTTTTTGAACCGACTTTTGTTTCCCGTGGGCCCCCAAGGGAGCAAATTATCTCTAGTAAAAACAACTTTAAGTATCCATCGCTGATTTCCTAATCATTTTACTTTTCACAAGGTTAGTAAGCTCTCTGAGAAATGTTAATTTATTTCCTTCTTCTTGAATTTTTTATTTGAGTTTTATTGTATCGTATAATTAAGCCAGCTATTTGATAATGACGAATCTCCATATGGGTCTATATATTATTCAAATGGACCTTTTCGAATCCCTAGTAATGCCAGTCCTCAACCGAGCTGCTGATTCATTAATTAGGAAGCGTACTCAGATGTCATTGCTGCGTCCATGTCAACGACACCGTCTGTGACGATTTCATACTCTTACAAACAATGAGGTAGGTATGCTTTAAATAATCTGACCGTTCTTCATGTGAGTTCGATGAAAGATCTGCAAGTTGCAGGTATGCCTAAGCATGACTGCGATATTCCTATATTTAGGTCGGCATCAGACGATCCTTAGATGCTTTGTAATTAATAATCCTGAACTGTGTATTTGTTATACCTCTGATTCTATCTTTCTCTAAGTCTTGGGTTAATGGCATCCTTCTTTGGCGATTCGTAAATTTCTATATAATATTTTGCCAACCCTGCGTATACGTGCATGCACACGCATACTGTTCAAAGAATATCGAATCGGCGCGTGCTTGAAGTCAACTTCAGCTCTAGCATATATAAAGTGAATCTATTTTTTAGCCTATATCTGAATTACACTCTAAAGCAGACAGTAACATATTCTGTGGGCTATTTAAATTTATTGACATGTTAGGCTGTGTTAGTATTCAAGAACGCGTGCGTTGCAACAATGACGTCGTACTCGGACTAGAAGCGGCGCGCACCGAAAGCAAAATTGCTTGCAAACTCTAGCCCTCAAATTCGAATGACGTAATCCGTAATACTGAATTTCTGTTAATATGTGCCTGAATACTGTGCATTTATTAATGATCTGCCGTCTTGGGTACAATCAGGGCGTCATTGAACTCACTTATTGACCTTAGTCAGCTAGCATTCAGGCACTTGAAAACACTAAAAATATATATTGGCAAAAAGACCCTTTGCATTTCAGATAGATACTTGTCACTGAAGATAAACGTCTGATGAACATCTATCGGTTTATAACGGAAAATTGGAGTTAGCAAGCTTCAACTGCTTATGCACATAAATAATAATTATTTGGTGTCATGGGCAAGCTGATAGTGTTTCAGTCGAGATAAGGTAGTAATTTATTCTGACGTCGACTACAAGTTATTACTGCTTGAGATTGCGACGCAAGGCAGTATTTATCCTGTGGACGTATCTGTCCTCTTGAAGGTTGACTCGGAAGTAAGAAGCACAAAAACCTGGGAAGACTGCTTTACTTACTTTGTGACAATCTATTGAAATGAATTCGGTATTAATTAGTTTTTAAAAATCTTAGCAGTGAAGAGCAACGTTTTGCAACGGGCGGTGTACGGTGGATGCAACAGGATTGCTTCTGTCGGCTTTAAACCGTCGAATGCATCAAGTGCTATATCCACACCCTTCCGTAGATGAAACGATGTAGAATCGGGTTACTCGGAGTCACTGTGAGTGTCATATCACACGTAGATGTACTGTAAAGTTGAAGCTTTTGCGGGACATCGATCAAGTTGATTGTGGCTCCAGGTTCTCTAAACCTGTTAGTCTTCACAACTAGCAGCTACTCCGTTGTAACTTGTAGCATTTGTACTAAGTTCGTTGTAGGCTCATGTCATTTCTCATGCTTTGAGCACACTTTTTTCTATTGAATAACGTCTACTCTTTTTAGTAGCATACATTTATTCCTATCACTTAAGATATATTGGTTTATTAGGTTTTCATCCGGATAGATGACAATCGGAACCTGTATATTACATAACTTACCTGCATTTATGTTTAAATTGCACAGATGCGGCTAGTTCACAGTAATTCGTTATACGGCCTTAGTGAGGAACATTCAAGAAGAAACTGTTCGTAGTATGGGTTATTTTGGATACGGCACCTATTTGGTTGTTTTTGTGTAAATGCGTTTATTTGACTGGCGTGTGCTTAAGGCATCAATTGAGTTGTTAGCGACACGTTCTATGCAGCACAATGGTTATTAGTTGAGCAAGATTGCAACGTTAACATGCAGGTGGCAGTGTGTTTTGAGTGTATATCTTCTTATTTGTATGTGTGTGTTATTTGTTTCTGAATGCGCTGCTGGGAGCGCAGAATAAATTAGACGCACTTTATTTATTCTGAAGATTTATCCAGATTGAATCTCAGTTTAAGCTAAGCTAAGATGAACGGGTTTAAACTGTAAATACACACACACACACACACGGATACACAGTACAGAAGACCTTTTGTGTATCTGTTCAGCGATTTTATCATAAATTGGATTTCAAAAACTTTAGGGAATATTTTTGATTTCAGTTAATTTGTTTGTTTACTTAAATATGTAGTGCAGTAATAATCGATTTCAGGAGTGAACATTTTCTATTTACAGAGCGCAAGGCCCGAAAGGCCTGGTAGAAAAGTCTATTCAACTTAAAACAAACGTGAATAGAACAGCAGCAACAATAGTAATGATTTCGATAAATAAGCGGCGCTTTATTTACAGCTAAGTTTGCTAAAAGAGTTGATAAAAAAAATGGTTTGAAGCTGGCCCTGGACGTTTACTTTCTGCCACAAGCCAAAGAGCTCCGGTGTGGCATCTGCACAGGGTCCAACGACCACTTTCTGTTTGTCGCTCGCCTATGTAGAACTTCGTTCGATTATGCTCGGCGTGTGTACGTATGTTCAACGAAAAGTATTGAGATCGCAACACTAACTAGGCAACGAGCGCCCTCGGAGCTTGCGGTATTAAGCTCTTATGTGTGTTGTTTTTACCATGTATCATAATTAGTGTCGAGCAACCCCGAACGGGAAGATTACTTGGCCGTTCCTTATTAAGGTTAGTGTTTGTTGACGTAGATAAACCTACGATATAGGAATGCTCTTCTACATAGGTCGGAAACAACACATAATACATTGCTAAGCTACGGTGCTGTAAGGTACGCTAGGCAGTCAGTTAGCGGCTATGTAATACGAATCATGATAGTCTGAAGAATTTTGAAGTAGAATGAAGTTCTGATTATTTATAGTTTGCTAGGTGCTGTCGATTTAAGATTTGTAGCACAGAGTCCTATGGTATGATGTGCTCTATATTACGCGATTCAGTTGGGGAACGCCTGACTACATTGTACATAACATTCAGCCAATTAGACGTAACAACAGGTTTCTGTTATGCCACCCCAGTGTCTGCATAGAAGACTTACGTATGTGGCCATGTATTCTGAATCCAGGTGTTGATGATGTTGTTTGCTATGAAGTTCGATTATTTTTAAGGCTTATGGCGAAATCCTTGTGTATTTATATTTTTGAAGATATACATTTACAAGTCGGTAGGCACTTATACTTCAGCCTGTACATCTTTGATTTTGACGTCGTCTAAAATGTTGATCTTCCTAAATATTTAGGTTAAGAAACTGATAAACTATCCTGACCTCAGCATACGTTGTTGGACATCAACGCAATTCTTCTACTACAGTCGCGCCACATTCGACATAACATCATGTTTGGTCATTTTTAGTATTTATCTAATGTATAACCTGCAATTTCCTAATTTGGGCCTTTTCGGTTGTTTCATGTGCCTGTGTATTCAGATTTCAGAATACTGAATAACTACTTGTTTTCCGGAATTCCCCGTCCCTAGCGCGGCCCCCACCCGTACCGATCTCAACTGTTTTACCATGTCAAATACAATTAACAACAGGAATGCTAAGGGCAGTGCTACTAATATATTTAGTGGAGGCCAGTCCCTTACAAACATAAATCACAAAGATGTTCGTTCAGGTAGTAATGGAGTTATTGCCGGTGGACTAAATCGCTATGGCAATAATCAGCAACCATTGAGTCCTTCTGAAAGATACAAAGCTGAGATTCGAGCGTTTTTGAAGCCGCCTCAAAATCAATATTTTTGTACCGTAAGCGTTGGTTAATGAGTTTACCGGTTATGCACATAAGCTTTTTGCATTAGCTTAATGTACGTATTTATTTGTGGTTTTCCACGAGAAATATTGCAGCAACTTTTTCCAGCGAGCAGCTAATAGAAAAAAACGTTCAATTTGCAAGTATCTTAAACTTAAGGGGATTTATCATCAAAAGGCACGTGTTTTCGGATGTAAAGCCTAATTCTTTCTTATGATTAGTTCATCGTATCGAAATGATCAAAATAATGATTATTTCCGCCATTCTTGTACAAGTCGATGAATAAGCTGGTTACTTTACCAAAAAAGAAAATTTGGACATTGGTCAGTAGGAACCGTATCGGATTTGACTAATTTTTGTAGCCTCTAAACGATCCCTACTATACAATCTTGCGTAACTGCATCCAAAGGTCAAGCAAAACAGGAAAAATGCTTTCATTGTCTTTTCAATAAATTCAGTTTCCTTCGCTATTGTTCTGATGTTGTTTGTTTCTAGTTTTGTTGGCAAGGGTTTGGATCTGCTGAAGAAAAAACAGCACACAAGCAGTGCAGAAGCCATAATCTTCAGTATCTGAAAATCAACTACGCCCAGCGGCGTGATGAGCTAGGAAGGGACAAATATGGAGTAACGATCAGTGCAGATCCCGAACGATTTGAGACTAAAAATACAGGCAGGGTTAGCGGACACCTAGTCGTACACCTTGTCGCCTCGGTCAGTTATGGAGTTAGGATTTTATCATGCGATCCCCTTATACGACTCGAAGGTGTCGAAATTTGGCATCCGGCACTTGATAACGATGAAGGTATCCGAATATCACCTGGACAAACAGTACGTATTCAGGTCAATTTTACGACGTACATCCCGATTGAGATAAGTGTGCCCATTGGACTGAAAATGTGCTTCGATGGCCAACGCTTTTTTTTTAATATTGTCAGAGAGATTACGTTCTTTTCGTCGTGTGAAGATTTTTCATCGAAAGCGATGATGGGCGATCACGATTATGAAGCGGAATTCCACATCAAGGGCTTTAAGACACCTGAAAAGCTTTACAAGTCGCCAGTAATGAAAACGAAGAGTATTGTCGAGCTACCTCTGCCGATCGCCGAAGAATATGAAATACCCAAAAAATGGCAGCTTCTTCAGAAATATCTGAATGATTTTCGTCGTCGCGGCGAACCACAAGTGATGGATCAGTTTGCTATGGCTTGCTTTACTGAAATAAAAAATTTGCTCAAAGCGCCTTTGAATGAAGAAAGTTATATTACGAAGCTGCAAGTTATGCTGTACCTTGAGGAAATGGCTAAAAAAGCTCAATTGATGTCGCAAAATTTAGCTTCTATAAAGATCTTTCGCAACACGGCTAAAGAGTATGAGGTATATCTTCCAGGCTTGTCCGAGAAACGTCCTCCTATCAGGGTTGGGTTTCAGGTAAACGTACGCGAGTTGGTAGATTCGACAATCGTTTACCAGGGCGCGTTCACATCGATCGGGGATTCGACGGCACGATTTTGTATTAATTCGAAGTTTGATAAAGTGTTCCGACCAAGTCACAAGTACTCACTAGAGTTTCAGCTCTGCAGACATATGTTCACAATTATGCACAATTCACTTACCGGAGTTAAGGATAAGGTGGTCGCCAAAAGCGCTTCATGTCTTTTTCCTAAGCGTGAGTTTTTGAAACTAAATTCGCCCTTAATGAATGACAGAGCTATAAACGAAATGACTTTATACAACAAAGAGATAAAAGAAAACCCGGAACAATTTAAAGCGATCAAGTCTATCATCAAAGGTGAACATCGTCCAGCACCGTTTATCCTATTTGGGCCGCCCGGTACAGGAAAGACCTCGACAATCGTTGAAGCAATAATGCAAATTGTAATGCATCAGGCTTCTACACGAATCCTTGTTTGTGCTTCGTCAAACAGCGCCTGCGATGTCATCTGTGACAAGATACTCAAGCATATCAATCCCGGTCATATATATCGCTTATATTCAGCGAGTTTCGAACAGAATAAAATCTCATCAGACATACAAGCAAAAAGATGCCACAATTACGTGAGCGGAATTGCACACTTTCCTGCTGAAGAGACGTTACAACAGTATCGAGTCATCAGTGCTACTCTAGCCACGACATGGCGTTTCCAACGGCTTCCAAAACGGTTCTTCAGTCACATCTTTATTGATGAGTGCGGTTTTGCCATGGAGCCCGAAGCGCTCATACCCATCTACACCGCATTGGGTACTTGGACCGACGAATGTCAATGGAAACCGGCTTGCCACCTAATTCTTGCTGGTGATATCCAGCAATTAGGTCCGGTACTCGCAAGTTCTATGACCGACAAATATTTATCTATTTCCTTTATGGAGCGTCTGATGAACGACCCGGATTACCCATATCAAAAGCCGTACGACGAGAACTACATCGTGAAACTTAGGCGAAATTACCGTTCACATGAAAGCATTCTCAAAATTCCCAATGAGCTCTTCTACGACAATGAACTACAAGAGTGTGCGAATAAGATGACATCGCATAAATTCATTCACTGGGAGCATTTGATTAATAAAGAGGTACGATTATTTTCACAAATTTCCAAAAACTCAGTTATTTACACCGATGAGCTATTCGAAGCGGAGAATGTAGAATTTGTTTCCCAATCTTAGAAACTGAAATTTTCTACAAATTCTTTTTTGCTAATCAATTCTCTGGAATAATTGAAGGTGGAGATTGGTTTTCATTTTTTGTATCACCTGTGAGATTCGTGAAAGACACTTACTTCGCGATTTTGAAATATCGGTAGGCACGATAAGGGGATGAGGTTTTCGGCTATATATTTTCTATCTTTTCTAACCCAATACACGTCTCCATTATCATACAGGTCCCTCTTATCTTCCACAACTGCGTGTCAGAAGAGCGGCGTGATCGGTACTCAACTTCGTATTTCAATCTCCTAGAAGCAGAAACTGTGTTAAATTATGTAAATACTGTGCTCACAAAGAAAGATGTACGTGAGTCTGACATTGGTGTCATTACTCCGTACGCGGCCCAGGTGAAACGCATTCGTCACCTTCTCCTTCTCAAAAAGTTTGAAAACATTAAGGTACGTTTTTTGTTGGTTTATCTTCTACAAATTTTTTCGATCCTGTAAGCTGTTTTAGGCCGAGGGCTAGGTGCATTCATCTCCGCTACCAGAAGACGCCCAGATGTATACTGGCACGTGGTGGCTAAATTTTTCAATGCAATAGTTGAGGAACATGAGGGTATCCAATACAGACTCAGGTGAATTTATCTAGAGCGGTGAAAACAAGGCTCTGATCTCCCACTTGTGTTCTGTTATTAAGGGAACGAGAGATGCAAATGAGGCCAAAAAACAGTTATGTAGAACAAAGGGACATGGAGTTAAGGGGATTGAGTTAAGTTATAATTTTACTCGGTCAACGCAGTAAATTTTACGCGGTGACGAGTAAATATCGTCTGAGACTAGCCGAAGAAGATAAGTTTTATACTTTAAACAAAAAAAAAACCTAGTTTAATGTCGCATGCTTATTTGACGGCGTTTTTCTTATATATTAGGTATTATTAATATTAGGTAACATCACTGACCGAAGGGCCTATAATTCGGCCATAAGCGCCAGACCGTCCAATTGGTTATAATATGTACTCATCTTTTGATGTATTAAACTATTAATAAACTTTTTTGCCTATTCGTAGGTCGGCACTGTCGAGGAGTTTCAGGGTCAGGAACGTTTGGTAATCATCGTATCAGCCGTCCGCAACTGCAAGGATCTGTTGCAACAGGACTTGTTACGAAAACTCGGTTTCCTCAAAAATCCAAAACGTTTCAATGTCGCCTTGACGCGAGCTAAGGCCCTATTCATTTGTATTGGCAACGCATCGATCCTTGAACACGACGTGTGTTGGACAAAATTTATTCGGTACGTCGAAAGCCACAAAGCATGGGCTGGCGTTCCCCCACAAAATTAACTTGTAAGCAATCAGTTGAGCGAACTGTCTCTCAGTTAGTCGTCAGTTAGGTCATGGGGTTCTTCCGTAAGCCAAAGACATCACGGAGCCTTATTACCACCAACAAGGGTAACGCCTAAAAACAGACAACAGCAGCTTAAACAATCTTCTGAAAAGCCAACATTGCCCGGGCTATAGTTGCAACCGGAAAAAGGCTATTCTTTTTTTTTTGTCACTATACGAGTGATGATACGACAACGCGTGATATATACAACGGCAGCGACACAGGACTTTATCTTTTGGTCGCGGTGGATTTTACATTGGTATTGTATATATAGCGGGTGATACGTAACCATTTCTTGCGTGTTCTCCTGTCCTCAACAAAAAAACTTCGTATGATGGATGGGGCAGTAAAAAGGATATGCTAATTTAAATTTGGCAAGAATATCAGTAGTGTGGTTAATGCAAATAGATCAGTACTCGAATGCCCTCTGAATTAAAGAAGACATACAAGGGTTTTAAGTATATATACATATATATGCTAAAAGATAAGAAGTGATTTTACTATTACTATTAATATATTAAATAATAATATTATATTAAATTCGAACATCAATAGGTTATAACAAAGTTATAATAAGAAAAATATATCTTACACATGTAACGACTACACGATGATGTTATATTGTCGCCAACAGTAAATTTGTACTGTTGATGATTATCAGTATTTTATTTAGCTTTTAATCTTATCTTCGATGTATTAAAAATCCTCGACGTACTGTTTCGTCATATTTGGCGAAGTCTTCGGATTTTTTTATCGCTGACAGTGCACGATGGTAATAAAAAACTATTCATAATTTTATATTTAAAAGCAGCCACAAAGCGTCATATTTTCTTTGCCATGGTGCATATCAAATACTGAAAGTTTATTTTTTACCCGTTCTATGATGTTCTAAATAGTACATACTGGATTCGACTATTGTACATGCCTAGATACGCTTGTAATATATACCTATTTTCTCCAGGTTGTTTATAATAAGAGCACTGCTCTAAAATGTTTATCTATTCAGCGTTTAATTAAAATGCTTTGTTGAAGATTATTTAACAAGTTGCCGTCCTGGAGAATCTTGTCGTTCTAAATGAGCCTTAGTTGTCGTTGAACCTAGCTAGCTACCTACCTAAGAGTAATAAAGGTTAAAAAAACGTCGCTGTTGCTTCGGTTCTGCTGCGTAAAGTACGAGATATGCATAGATATGTATACTCAGGGGTTCCTTCCTGCTTAGTTGAAAAATAGTAGAAAATTTTACATGCTCAACAAGTAATGCTGCTAACCAGTACAGCTCTGAGAATCGATTACGTCCACAATATCACAAGCAGAATATGCTACAGTCAGCCGTAACAAAGCATTAACAATTCAACCGTCTTCATTGAAAATCGTCAAAACACCTATTCCTTACTTAATTTTGATAAAATTCTGTCAAATCTCCATCGATCTTTGTAAATCAAACCTTGTTTAATATGCGATTTTCAGCGAAAGTAGCCCTATTTGCAGGTAGGCGACTCAAAGTGATGGCTGTTCAGCGAACTGAGCAGTACCTGAATGCGAGAGTGACATTTTTTCCACTTGAAACTAGTATCGTAAACAGCATAATTTTACTTGTAGCATATAACAATTAACAGATAATTAACAGATGCAATTTGTACTTGTACTTTAAAACATAAGTTAATCATAAAAGTCGTATCATTTCGATTGCAAACAATGTCTTATTAAAATAACTAAAACTTCCGTTTTTCAAGAAATCTGGACAACGGAGCTTTAATTTACCTGAAAAACTCAGCAAAACTGAAAATTCAGTGTCATCTTCTCTGTCTGCTATTCCTTTAGCAAAAATTCAATCCACTCAAGGCACTCACTTTTTCGATGTTAATTATAATTAAATATTTACCAAACATGATCCACAGATGCCTGGTGTGGTTTAGGTCTGAAATTGGCTTAGTTTGGTCATGAGACCTGCTTTTTTTGATTAGTATGTTGGTGCAAAGCTATGACCACAAAGAAATTCAGACTTTCTATCATAATATATATATTATAAACAGATGCCGCCAATAGGAAAGTCAAAGCTAAACGACTCGATATAGTATACAAATCAAGCAGCAGATTAAATTTGCTACGTCTAATGTGGTATTCTGTATAGACTGTATTCGTTGCACGGTAGCAGTGGAACCTATGTTAGTCACGTAAAGTTAACGTCACTGTACTATGAATCGCTCTACGTATGACATTCTATAGGAATGAACATCTTGAAGTTATTAAGTGGAGAAAAGTTAATTTTCTGCGGGTTGGAGTTCCGATAAACTAGATGCAACTATGTATGCACAGGTTCTTACTTTCTTCTTTCGATTTGCGTATACTCTGAAGCACACACACATGTTATGATTACGCGTTTGACAATGTTGCAAAAGCGTTTGCTTATTTTTCAAACCTCGTGTTACTGTTTTATTCCAATTTTGAAATTTTAAAATCTTATTTCGAATGCGACAAGTTGTCATAAGAAGAAAATTACAGTTACGATAAAACAGCTGTGAACATTACTTTATATGAGAACGACATATGAGAACAATAATTTTAGAAAGACTAACGGAATATATTTAATAAAAAGAACAACAAAAGAGCCAACAGCTACAGAACACAACGCAGGTCTTATTTCTTCTAATATTTTTTGGTTAATACGCAGTCACAAACTGTCGCGTGTTGACGAGCAAACCCACACTCTTTTCGTGTCTACAACAAACCCGATACAAAATTCCGTCATTCGGACATTTTGGTCGGAAGATTTTTATGGCTTAACTACGTGAAGGCTACGGAATGAAAAGGTAAATTGGTAAAGCTAAATCGATTGATTAAGGCTTTCGCTTGCTTCTACAACGAACTTGTTTGGTGTTCAGATCTTTTTTGTTTTTCGTCTTTAGTCAGTACCCGAAACTTATAGAAACATTTAATGAAATGCCATTTGTGCTATTCAGACTTTAGCCCTCAACTTACTATACAACATTATCGTTACATTCCTCGAAATAATCGCAGGCTTCGTCATCGATAATGAGGTTAGGTAATAACATCGTCAAATGTTACTGCTAAGATCGTAGACACCGAACCACAGGTCACACTTGAGTATATCAATGGATTGAGAATCTTCTTCTCTAAGAGTGCTGGCCGCAGCGATCAAAACATGTTGAATAGGTTATAGAGAGCCTATTAATAACAAATGTGGTATTGACTTAGATATGATTTCACTTGTTGTCACGCAGTGGTTCAATAGAGGCAATTTTCTGTCTAAGATTAAGCTAAACAACAAAAAATGGAGTAATCCTGTAGCACAAAAGAGTTCTAAAGTGCTACCAGAAAAACAACAGCCCGAAATAAGATTGGAAAACTGAAGCTTGTAGTCACGTTGAAGCAAGGCTCACAACTTCTTCAAAGCATCAGGTTTGACAAACGTAAATTGTCCATATGGTAGAACTGCAGATCTAGCTTAAATACGTGGTATTTTTGTCAATGTGATAGGCGCTACTGGCTGGCTACACCTGTACGGGAGCAAGGTGCTAATCGAAAGTTTTGGTCGAGGTAGAATGACGTCCTAAGTCGTATTAAAAGATATACTGATGTCAACATGATTACTTGTTGTTCTATGGTCATACATATAGCAACATTTCAATTGCGATATTGAGATGATGCGTATAGATGTAAATTCATGCCCAGTGCTTCGGTTGATAGCCAACTACAATACTAACATTATGCGCGCAACGCATTGGTAATCACTTACGCCCTTATCTCAATAGTAAGACCCTTCCACAAGCTCGAACTTGATCTATGCGCTCGGAAAGAACAATGCCGAGAACACATGTAATTATTGCGAACGATTAGAAATTGCCCTATCATGTTTATATTAACAAACTTCAAAATCTTAACGCAAGTAGTTTGTGCACATTAGCACCACAACTTACGCTACATTTTAGTCCACCCCGTATAAATCTATTCTAGACTCTGTGATGTGCCTTAATACATCTATGTAGATAAGGCATCATACTTTCGGAGCTATAAGGCTATTGTGTAACGTCAGTAGAATGCAATTGTTTTATGAATGAAGCAGGGAAACGCTTTTTTACCAATCGAACTTACCATCCATATAACTTCGGTAGTGTGTAAACAGGTTCAGGTCCAAGGTCGGACCATTACTACGAGCATAAACAAAATGATCACCGATGAATTTTGAAGATGGTCACGAATTTCGAAATGAAATGCGTGTTAATATAACGTGCGAAAGTTAAGTAATTTTGCTACATATAACTTAGAAGCTAAGTCTAGCCTAAACCTGGACTAATAGCATTAATGCACAAACATAGATAGGATCATATGATTATTTCGGCAGATCGCAAGAGCGCCAAACATATACAATACGTTATTCACCATCCATTGATAGTGATTTCCTTTGTTTTTAATTAACTTACAATCAATCGAGTACTATTATGTTTTGATCTGTAGAGTGATTTGACCCACGAAAACATATGCAGAAGTGGCCTAATTCACTCATTATGCGCTTCTTCTTGTGAACTTCCGGTCTGAGTAAAATAATGTAAAAAGATATTAGGTCTAGGATGTTTGACCTATAGTTATGAGCTTTGATGTACTTCGGAAACGCAGCAGCAGAAGATTTGCAGGAATTCAAAAAGCACCGTTCCACAAAGGGTGCGAAATATATTCCTTCGCGAGTTCGATCTGGTTATTAACTATTTTCATCGCGGTTTACTTAGGATCAAACTTGTGCTCTTATATTATGGCCGACGGCCTTAGCTACAGAAAATCCCAAAGTTTTTTTTCCAATATCCTTCGCTTACAGGCTTACCGGTAGTTGAGCCGCGAGGACCGATTCTAATATATTACGGAGAGAGAATATATAATCATTTATTCCGGCTTGGACTCTGTATGATATTCAGCAGACGCGAAATATTTTTTTTGAAACCCTCGTATAACAATAAAACCCTAAGGGGTATTTTCTGTACATTAATGTGGTTTGATGAGGATCAATCTTTTCAAGGGGAACCTGAAACCCTAGTGGTCTAAAAAATGCGTGATGAACCAAAACAGCGAGGGATTTAATAATAGTGGAATACAAGATAAATTAATGAACAATGCTCACGGGGTTAGTTTGTTGAACAGCGTAACTTTGCACTCTCCGTTAGTGTTCCGGCGCCTTTAGCATCAAGCTGTATCAGTTGCTCCTCGTTATATTTATTGTATAGGAAAACTAACTCCATGTTGTCGTCGTGCTCTCTAAGTACCCACACGAATAGTTTATCATGGCTGCGTTGAGCCATCACTGTCATTATGATCGTCGGTACCCTTTTTCTTCATTTTTTCCTCCTCTTTTCCCATCCCAGAATTACTTTATCTTGTATATGCTCGAATAAATAGAACCATGTGTATCTAACTGGTTCCCTGTTGCTAACGAAACTACCACCTTTAAAATGTAAAAGAAAAGTAATGGCTTCGTTATCGTGCGCTACTGCGGCCCGCTTAGTTGTCGTAAACCGACCACCAACTGCGATTACGAACCCTAGTCACTGTTAGGCCTGCACGAAGGCAACGGCTTTCGCACATCGTGCCGTAGTAGCAGTTACAAATAGTGCCTTGACGATGGCCAACCTTTGCAGCATGAAGCTCACATGAAATCCCGCAGCTTGAAGTCTTCCGTTGTCTGAGCTTCTTACACGCTGTTCCATTTGCTGGTTTTCTCTCTCTCAGCATTTATGGCCTGCCTTCAGTTCGTAAAGCAGCGCTATTCGGTAAGTCGTAATGGGGCTCCCGATGCCTGCTGCGGATGCAGCTTGTCCCCGCCGTCGGCCCTTTCCCCTCGACTCAACGCATACCCTCAGCTGAACCCTCTCTGCTGACGTGAACTTTACGTCAGATATCTCCTAAATAGCGGCCTCAAGATCTCAACCCTTCACTCTTCCATCGGAGCTGTTACGGTCAACCACAACGACCCAGAGGCCACCGCTTAAAGGCGACCCGCAGAGGCGCGTATAGTAAGCAACAAGTGGATCGAGGTCTTGGACACAGCCCAGCACGCGTTATCCGCTCTGGACAGAAGTGCTTCATCCGAACAGCTCGTGAAGCTTTCCGGCTCACGTGTGTGTATTGAAACTGTGAAAACTGCTGAAAAGGATTGGTGACAACCTTACCTGTTCTTAACGGTACCTCGAACAACAATAAGTTTGTTGGTGTCGCCTGGTGTGACATAAACCTCAGAGTACAATCAATTCGCTTATTCTAACACGGTACGTAATATATTGTAAATAGATACTATAAATTAAAGTCTGAGGCATGTCAGAAATTTACGCTCATAACCTTGTTTTAACCATTTTGGGTCGAGTGATTTTATATTATAGTTCAAACAGCCTGAGCAATTTCACTAGCCGAAGCCATCGTTGTTCCAGATCGGTTTCGTTTTGGAAAAAGTAAAAAACCCTTATCGCATAACACAAAAAATAATAATTTCCATGCATTTAAACAGGTGAGAAGTACTTGTCTACGTGTAAGCGAGGATCACCCCATTACATCATTTGTGCCCTGTCACTTTTATCGCCATGAACGTCAGTCCTTGAGCTCAGGTGCTTAAAATCCACTATCGATAGCAGTGATTATTCAATTATTGTCGAACGTGTGCCTCTTTCCCAAGAGGTTTCAAAACCAATTCGTGGCCAGTGACTGAGGATTGGTAAATGTAATCTTAGTATACTTGTTGTTGTTTAGCTGTCCAGCTCATCAAGGATCTTGTGCGTTCAACACAAGCCATCTATAATTTAGCGTTCATTCGGTCTTCCTATTTTTCTCTGTACGATTGGCTTGGTTAAATATATCTCAATGCTCTCGTAGGCGTCGATCACTGGGGAAGTTTGGCTGGAGTTGTTTTCATACTTAGGAGCATACGAATGCCAACGAGAATTCGCGAGGACTCATGTATGTAACGACGCAGATAGATTTCTAATTCAACGCCTCTGGCTAAGCTATCCTTGAGTTGTTGTACCGGCAGAAGGTACTGTTACAACAAAGTTAGTTCTAACTTTATTCAACGTGCGCTTGAACTATCACATACATGGCTAGCGACGCTTTCAAAAACAGCTGCTGATCCATGATAGAAGGTCCAGATTCTCATAGATCCTTGTTCGTGCATTCTTTTTCAAATTGTAAAAGGGGGGTATTACTTCAGAAGCTAATACTGATTTGCCTGCAAACGCCTAACAAATATGGAAGATTCGACCCTGGTCACCGATAAAATCGAATGAGCACTGATGCGCTACCGTCGACGGCGTCATTTTAGAGTTCCTGCGGGCATTGACAGCTTGAACTTGGACTAAACCAGTCAACCTGATTTGAGGTAGTTAACAAGCGGTTGCGTATCGACTGTCGTTGAGACTGCTACTACCCTATTCTATTCTGTCTGGCCGCTGTCCCTACGTTTTTTCATAGTCCAGGACATGCTGTCAGCTAACTGGCCGATTATGTAATACATACGATTTTCTTTCCATTGCCTTAGCGCGTAACCTGTGTTTAACAAGGATCACGGTGCTGGCGACTGCCATCCGTAGTGATCGACACATTGGCGATGCAATTAAGTACAACCATGTACTTCGTCAGCAGCTCTATCTGTAAGCAGTTCTAGAAATAAATTAATTTTTATGGAGAGTGCGCTTTTTTAAATTTGCATTGCTGACAGTAAGTAGTGATCTGTGTGCCAAATAAGCTGCTAATCAATGCTGCCCCCTTGAATTCTGCTACTTCATAGCGTAAACATCGTTTGGGTAGCCTTTGTTGTCATACTCACCTTTGAAAAGAGCTTTGAAGTACTTCAGACGGCTGGCGGCTCCTCCCGTTCAGAAAATCCTACCAGCCTCAACGCTTACCTTACTCTCTAGCGGCCCTTTAGCTTTTTGTCCCGGCAAGCCCCTACTGTCACCCCAGCTACTATTCGAAAGTAAGTCTCCATCTTCTATGCTACATATAAATGCTTATGTATTTTATCGTTCTCTGTTAATACTTATACTCTGGGAAGACGCAAAAGTATATTGGCGAAGGAAACGCCTAAGTAGCGAGAATCAGCGTGAGACAAGGAAGATAATCCACAACGCTGGTCTTAACCCGCCGCCATTTTAACCGCTTTGTTTGGTTGGTTTTCTTCGACAATCCATTGATATTTGATCAAAACGAACCTCATTTTTTTAGCGAAGGATTATGCAGCAGACAACTAGCGGCGCTGCCAAATGTTACAAACAGGCAAGTGCTTATCCAAACGTATACGCAGCTGTCGGCATCCGCTATTTTTCTGTTAAATACAGCTTTGTCCTTCGACACAGTTCCGTAACTAGAGAAATAGCTGAAAAAATGCGCTCGAACAGCTTTTAAATGGCATCACGTCCCTAAACTGACACCACGAAGCCAGCTAAGCCTTGCGACAGTTCCGTATCTTTGAGCCAACCTAAAACAGTACCATTAGGCCGGTCTGCCTAGTCTCGACGCAAAGATACGTCACACCCTGTACGATTAACCTTTCTGCTCTACAATAGGGAAACATCGGGTTGTCGTTGTTACAGGAGTTTGACCTACAGTTTTCACGATCGTAGTCTCGGGCTTCACTTGAAATTGCCAAGAGGCCTGCCTTGATTGGTTGTTTGTTTCTGTTGCCGTTAGCTAATAAGCTGACACCAGGCCATGACGGCGTTAACTTGGTAGATTTAGTGCAAGCGGATGGCCTGACTGTTCCCGTGAACCCATCCGGCGTGGCAATGTTACGTTGTTGCCAACGAAAAACAAGCAGGTAAAAATGTTGGTGACGCTTGTTTGCTGCCGTGAGGCTTTGTGCCTGATTAACAGACGCAAGCAACAGGCGACTAAAAGGTCAAGGAATGCACGAGTCCATTATCCGCGCATAGGAACGTCATAGGAATTTCTACGGTACGATGAGCTATAACAACATATTAGATAACAAAAAGACTACGAAAACAGTTACTGCATGGCCGTTTGTTAGCCCCTTATCTAACCATCATTCAACGGCGTCCTTTGGCAAAACTACAAGTCCTAGAGTTTTCGTAGGATACAGATAGTTCTTCTCCCGAAGCTTCTAGTGTGTTCAGCCATCTGTGGCTTTCAGTAAACGCAGAATTTCGCAGAATCCAGTGGTTACTATCGGATAGAACTGGCAGCTCTGTCCACAGTAGCAGCAGCAGTGAGAGAAATAGCCGTAAAGGAAAACATCCCGAACAACGCCTTTCAAGTCGACGCTCGTATACATATATCTGGTTATTGTACTGATTTTGTATTGTATTTCAGTCACCTTTATTTGGACCGCTATCAGAGTTTCTATTTACAGAAACAACAACAAATCGCAAGCACGTGAGACGCTACCGACGATAAGTGAATGTCCCGATAGAAAAAACCCAGTAAGTTTGAGTGTACAATGAAGTATATTACGAGTGCCATGGTAATACAATGATATGGCAGTCGTTTTTAGAGCTGCGGTTCTAGATCTTCTGTAGGAAAATAGAGCTGTTGTGTTCGTGCTTCAAAAGCACTGTAGTATCGCATTTTTCTGTGGGGAAAAGCTGCGAACAAAGGGTAAGCCCCGGGGCTGATGGAATTTGTTTACGCTGTGTAACGGTATCGAGAAGTAGCTGTGCGTGAGTTTGGTTCGCGACCTGTCGTAGACAGAAAGACAAAAACCACTTTCTCCTTTCTACTGTTTTTTTATTATTGCCGCTTTGACGTTGATATGGCTTTCAGAATCCCTTCTTGCACCCATACCATTGAAGTTCGTTGGCCGTAGCATCGCCTCCATCTGCATTCCCATTAATTGTATAGGGTTTCTCCTCTCTCCGTTTTCAAGTCAAAATAACCCTTCTTCAAAAGCTATACGTATCTTCTGGCGGTAGTGTGAAATGGTGTCCTCCAGTCGTCTAAGAGTAGCGTACTCAAAATAGACATAAATTCAGCTTTCAACTAAAAGTGCTCTGCGCTGAATTGGATATGCTGACCAGTCATTGGCGTTAATTACCATCGTCGCAAACCCTGAGTGCGTAAGCTGGCCATAAGGTGACTACATCGCGACTGGACACTTGACTCGTCGAAGTCCAGCTAAACTAGTACTCGGCCGATTTCATTGCTTTACTGCGCCTAATTTAGTTAGAGCAAGGATTTAAGCGAGCCCGAAGTTTTTTCATGAAATGGCACCCATGGGAGTTTTCTAGACTTTCGTAGGTATGGCAATCTGGGAGTTAATAGACAAGTAGTTAGTGAATACGTTATGGGTGGAAAGAGGTACCTGTGTTAAGAGCAGAACTGCAGCAAGAAGGTGAAATGACACTGCTTGCCATTGAAGAAATCTTGTGCTGCCATTATAAGTAAATAGACGAGTTTGCTTCATAGGCTCGGAATGTGTGTGGGAATTCTATAGGGCGTGCTCAGTGTTGAACTTGCAACCCACTATCAACGCAGTAAAGAATGTTAGTACGGCAGAATATGGCGACAAGGTTCTTCCCTCAAGCAGGATGCCGCAGACAGTTACCACTCAGCTTTAAGTACAATAATCTCCTGTCCTTTAAGTCTCCTCTGCGTTTTTGCCTTCCAGGCCTTTTACGTCGCCCATAAACTACACGGAGGTATTTGTTGTAGTCAAGTGCAGCTGAAGGCAGGAACACTAGCTAAAACATCGACCCAGGTCGAGAATGTCATCGTTGCTATTAGCAAAAACAGCTATTTCTCTAGCTATGACTATACGGCCAAGCGAAACAGCAGAAAAGAGAACAACAGCTCATGAGAACATAGGAACGTGCCACGACCAACGAAGGTCGCAAGAGGCACGAGGCGAAGGGGGAACAGAGAGCGTGGGCAGACGGTTTAATGGAGCTCTGCCTGGAACGCATTGTAAAAATTCCAACTAGACACTCATGAAGAAAGGTACGACGACAACGTAACGATAATTCAGTGTATGGCGTTGGCTTCCTGTCTAGCTGCTGAGGCCCATAACAAAGGGCGTCGTTGCTGACGTCATCATCTGTGGATGATATACAGCATCCTGTGTCAAGTCCTGTATGTGTATCATTCTACAGGGTGTACACATTTAACAAAGTCGAGACACACAAAAAGCGCGAAAATCTGACGTTCTAATGCTGCAATGAGTTCGGATGGTCACCGTTTAGGTTTGCCGACAACTAAGTGGAGAATTGATTTAAATATGATGCCGGATCCATGTTCGATTTTCAGATGAAACATTTTGTCGTGCTAAGTATGGTTACATGGCTGGCAGCAGCTACGCCAACGGGCCTGCTCGGCGAACCGGGCGCGATCTACGGCCGACTGCAACGTAACTCGTACGTCCCGTACCCGAAACCAGATTACAACCGACTCTACCTTGCGCTGAAAAACGCCCGCCTGCAGGACCAGGAACCGGAGCCGGCAGAGTACGATTACGAGCCTAGCCGACCGATTGGCGCCATCTTCGAGCCTCAGGATGAAGTCCTTGGAATGCAATATGAGGATGGACAGAACACTGATATTGGCCAGCAGCTGGCCAATCAGCAATGGCTCGACATCGGCACGCTGTAAGTGATCATCATAATGCGCAGCGTATGTAGATGGTGTGCAAGTTTGTCCTGCTTACGTAGTTCTGTGGTTCTCTCCATACAACAGGTTAGACTCGGTCCGGGCAAATGTATAGGTAGGTTGGTATATAGCTTTATTTATCGATGCATTTAGTCAGATATTAATAATTAGATAGAAAGATGCAGTGGTTAGTCGGATATCATATGGATGGTACAATGCGTGGTAGTGTTCACGAGCCACTGAGTAACTACCTGTATAAGAATTTATAGTGCTTCTACTGCCAAGTAGGAGTAGCATCAAAAAGAGTAGGTAAGAGGGGGCTATATGGTCAGTAAATCACTTGTCGACTGTCAGTATCAATGGGATTTCGAGGATGACTTCAGCACACATAGGTATCTTTCGGCCAGTTTAGGGATCACACGAGATGCTGGTATCATTAGTTAGCTTTAATGATCAATCAAATAAGGTAAGCGCTATCTTCCATTGCTGAATAAACGTTTAAATACAACCGAGCGATGAACTAATGAATGCAATACAAACATTCGGAAGTAGGTAGATTTTAAGGTACCAATATACAGGTTTGCTATAGAATCATACCGCTTACAGATGTTTTTTTATGTGTACACTTATATATGCTACCTGCATCAACAAACGTAGGCCGTCAAGATCAAATATAGCGTCAATACGAATAGGATCCGTGTGTCTTGTATTGCTCGGTTCGGTGCATTCGTTTGTCCGGTCGCCGGTTTTTGGTCGCTACGCTAGTTTACTAGGAGTGCCATAGTGAATGTAGTCATATCAGCTCTTGCTGGATATTATGGCTCAAATGTAGCATCATCTATTCATAGTAGACGGGCTGGATGCGCTGACACATTTGTTATGACGTAGGAGGATTTGGGGGAATAAGTTAAGAACAGATCCGCGCGAAAAATAGTGCAGGAACTAGGCCAAAAAAAAGTGCATTAGTTATTTTGCCATTTGTTTTTTTAGTCTTTTGCATTGGGCGTTACTAACGTTGTTCCACACCACTGTTTCTCGCCGCATCAATTCCACTCACTTTTGCCGCACTTATGGCCGACAATGCAATTGATGGACGACGACGCATCTGCACTTCGACGGAACGGATAACAGCTATGACGCTCCTATTGATGAGGAACGACTCGAGCAGCAAAAGGAGAGCATGCGTCAGTTTATGAATAGCTACGTGCAGAAGAAATCGGATCTGAGAAAGAAGGCAGCTAAACGGCAGCCCTCAGTTCCGGCGGCTATTGCAGCGCAGGCGCACGCCGGTTCGCTGGGCGCAAGCACGACGATGTCAGTTAGCACGAGCACGTCAACCACGAGTACTACGGTTGCCCCAGCGCGTAACGCTGCAGAAAATGAGGAAAAGGTAGCGAAGGCATCGAAATTGCATGGTCAGAAGGAGTACGCTATGCTGCGACCTGCGGCCGCTGGCGAGACCCGTCGGCCCCTGCCTGATCTGTGGACTCCGGAAGACATCGAGGTGCAACAGCTGGTGAGTGGGCAATTGAACTTTTCGTATCCGGGGGCGAGGAGGAGAAAGGGCGAAGGATAGAAGGAAGAAAATAGTCTGTGAATTATGCTAACAGCAGTATGTAGCCGTATTATTTACGCAAGTATAAGATGCTGATGGTGATTATGATAATACATTCAGTGGCGCACCCTTGGGCAACATCTAATGCTCGAGGTGATCAGATCTTCTCGGTTAGTCCGAGAGCATCCTTGCCGTCAATTTACAATCAGAAATGGCTTGCCATATCATATATACATGAATATACGATATATCGAAACAGAGAAATGTATAGAGTTTGTGAGTAACCGTCGTTTCGGGGTTAAAGATTGATCATCTATTGAATTATGGTATAATATTACACTAGTGAGTGTGTTCTGCTACGGATGGACCGACGAATACGTATATTTCTCGTATAGCAGATGGCCAGTGAATGGCACATCGGCCGGATACCCGTCTTACTTAGCCCGGGCAAAATTGTTATACGTCATCCTTTCCACCTAATAGGTATAAAAAAGCGCGACAAAATCTTTCGCTGTCCTTTGGTTCCAGTAGCCGACGCATCTCTCGTAGTAGCTTTGCTCCGCTTCCTTTTTGCTTTTAATTGTCGATTGCATCAGGGCAAGTACTGCTACCAGGCATGAACTTACCGGGTTGGATAGGATAGACAGGTTTATCTGACTACCGGTATCATGGGAATCTTCTATCGTTATCTCCGCCGCCACAGCTGATAATAGCTCAACAAAGCAATGGCGGCTGTGCTAAGCTATATACAGTGTTTTATACCACCGTTGGGGCTTAGGCAACGGCAGTCGCCGCGACCACGCTCATATTTTAGATCGAGTCGGGGTGAAAGTAACGGTAAGGTGGGCGCTCGGCAGGAGCCACGACGGATGATTTGACTGACAAACTTCGAGAGCTCGTCTGTGCTCATGTATGTTCGGATCTACTGTGAACGGATATGAGCAGACATGTAAGTGTACCACAGATAGGTTTGCGAACGACGAACTGGCGGATGCCAATCTGGCAGCTAGCAACCGACACAAGCGGCACTAAGCCGCAATGTCTCGCGCCGAAAAGCGCAGCGACAAGAGCAACGAACGAAGTCTCTTACCTGCCAAGGTGTGCTCAACGAAGCGGTATGTGTCCCGTCAACGTCCTGTATGACGGTAGTGCGTGTGTGACCGTTAATTACGATCGGCTTGGGCCGATTAAGGCTGGTAGACGAGCTGGTTGTTTAGGAATCACACGGCTAGAGAATCGCAGGCCTGTTCCGAGTCGGCGCCGCTGCAGAGTACATTTCTAGGGCTGCCCTTATTGTAGCTCTCGGAGTTTTCTAGTGGGCAAAGGTATTGGTAAATAAAGGGCTGTTGGGCGATGTGTACTTCCGGGAGACTGGGTTGCTTACGGTTTTTATCATGCTAGTTGCTAGTACGTAGCAACGCTAGCACAATAAGGATCTAAGCTACTGCTCAGAAGTCCGGATATTTCTATTCCAGTGTTCACAATAAACACAACAGCAGCTGGAGCAGCAAAATTCTAGAAGATCTTGGTAGGATGTAAAGGGTAAAGGGAACCAATAAGGCAGTAATAGACAACTAATGCTTATTTTGTTGTTTCGGCAGTATATATATATATATGCGAAATATTATATGCGATTGTCGTAAAAATAATGAAGCTGGACACAAGATGGTTTTTAAGTGTGAAAAGTTAAGACATGTCCTAATAAATTTAATTGATTGCGGTAATATAT